CAAATTCAGGAGCTTTTTAAACGCTGCCAGCCTATAGAAAAAAATTGGATAAAACTTTTCTGACACAGAGGCGAAGCTGTGCTTTGCAAACACCAGCGAGAACACTACAAAAAGGGAGCTTTATTAAGTGAAACAAGGAAAGATACAAACAAGCAGCGAATTGGTAACATTTTGTTATGTACGGGTTCCAAACCTGCGACCTCAAAAGCTGGAGTCTCACGCATTGCCCTACTGGCAACGCCCTGCACTCTCGGGAAGAATCGCAAACCCTGACAGCCCTCCGGCAACTCCCAACTACAGGGTTGGGATTTTCATTTCTGTGAAATTTTGCAAACATGAGTTTTCTGAAAATTTCTTTGTAACAATCATTCGAAAAACTTCATGTCTCGGAAAGCATTTGAGCATCCATATTTGAGCGCATCAGTATAGAGATGGAAATTTCAAATTTATTTTAAATTTGAGTTTTTTTGAAAGTTTTTGTTAAAAACGTCATGTCTAGAATACTACCAAGGTTTGAGCAGTCACATTTGGAGGCAATATTCACAACCGCTGACAGTACTCTGACAGCACCCATCTACATGGTCGAGAATTTGAAAAATTTTAAAAATTATTTCGTTTCAGTTTTCTGAAATTTCTCAAAAAATCCCCAAAACTGACGTATCTCGTCTTTTAAAATGATTTGAGCATTAATAACTGGAAGACCAAATTGCAAGCCCGGGAGAAACCTGACAGCATCCCACTTTTGAGTTGCTTATTTCAAACATGGCGACATAACCACTAAATTCAAACTGGAAAATCGAAAAAAAATCTTCGCAATTGCAATATACGATTTAGGTTAAACGTGAAAAATTTCTTACGTTATACACGCAAAAATAACAAAAAGAAAAGCTTAATAAGGGCGAGATACGGAAGCCCACAATCATATACAATCTTAACCCTTGCAATATATGATATACTTGAAACTTCAAAAATTGGACATTTCTGAGGCCATATTTGTTACTAGCTACTTTAAATAAGAGCGGTTTGAGAAGGGGAGAACCCCATATTTCTTTACTTCAATTGAACACTTCATCTCAGATTCGTGCATTATTCAAAAACTCAAGGCCAAAATCCCCCTACTATAATTTTCAAAGGCCGTAGATTGTGAGGTAAGATAAAGGTCCTAGCAAAACATGCGGGCGCATAGAAGAGCAGCCAGTTTTTCCTTGGGTACAAATTGTTTTAAAAAATCGTTACAGAAAATTGAGAAACATTTAAACTTCTGCGAAAAGTTTGAAAAAATTAGCAAAGTGTTACAAAAAATCGAAGAACAACAAATACCATACATTTTCATAATCACGCTTTTTTTTCAAACCGGACCTAAGCCTAGCCAAAAACAAAGCAGCAACAAATGCCACCGAATTGTTTATCCTTGAATAATCTTAAAAATAAACAATTTGAAATATACCAAAAGTGCCACTAAAAGAGTACTTTTATTTGCGACTTAAGTATGAAAAAAATTCTTCGTAATAATACACTACACTGCGCTTCTGAAAAACATATAAAAGATAGATAAATGGGCAAATTTCAAAATAGCCTTGAACTTAACGTTAAAAAATTCCTTTAAACGTGCAAAAACAATACGTTGATACAGAGGCGAAGCTGCGCTTCGAGAACACTAGCAAGAACACGACAAAAAGCAGCTTTACAAAATGAAATATGAAGATAGAAATTAGCCTGGAGTAAGTATAACTTGGCTAAGTATGGGCTTCGAACCTGCAACCTCGAGAATTGGAGTCTCACGCCATACCCTCTCGGCCAGGAAAGCTTAATAACTGGCAGACACTAGACAAAAATAAAGCAGCTACATATTCTAACAAATAAGCCACGCTACGCAGCAAAAGTGGCATGAAATAAGATTTGACTGTTTTGCAAGTAATAATTTGGAATACGACGAACTAAAGGTATCCACACTAGATTTGCATGTAAAAAATTGGAAAGCCTAGAGCCAAATTGTGTAACAGAGGCGAACCTGAGCTTAGCACCACTTGCAATACAAAAAAAAAGAAAAACAAATGACAAAAATCGAAAAGGTCGAAAAGACTGAACCCATTCAATTGAATTGGGCTAGTTTTGAAAAAAAACATGACAAGACAATGGAATGTGCAATAAGCATCGGCAAACAATGCATCCAGCGGTAAAAACTCGAAAACCTTGTCAAAGTTTCTTTTAGCCAAAAAAAATCAACAATACTTCAGACTTCTGGAAAATAAATAAGTCCACCTAACCCTCAAAACAATTCATTTGCTCGTCAAAAAAAAACAATATGAGGACAGAAAAGCGATATAATGTCAGCCAAAACCTACAAATCCCAAAACAGGAAAATTTAAGAGTAATAAAAAGGTATTAAGTCCCCCTCAATCTCAAATCACAGACACGAACACACAAAACTTGCAATCCGATATCAATGAGCCGATATAAAATATGCCAAAACCTATCAAGCCAAAAAAAAAGGAAAAAACAAACAAGCCGGAAAACAATTGTTTCCATGCAAAACTTGAACTACAATTCTATTAAGAATTTTAGTACTTTTCGCAATCCAGATGTGAGCATGAAAAAATATTTCGGTTGACAGGACTCGAATTTAGGTCACTGAGCCAACACAAACTTAGGCCGAACTCATTTGGGCAGAAGAAAATTTAAACACAAAAAAAACATGTTTATACCAAGTCAAGTTTCGTAAAATTACAAACAGCAATTTGGTCAAGTTTAGTAAAAATACAAACAGCAATTTCTGGGGTAACTCAGAACACTAGCACTTATTAAAAAAAGTTTGAAAAAACCTGAAAACTAAGCCGACATTTTTAACGGACTCTTTCCCGTTTCAAAAAAATAGGTCCCGTCAGTTTCGAGCCCAGGACCTTTGGCGGTCCAGGCGTATTTGTTACGTCCAGACTAAGTGAGCCGGAGATCATTAGAACTTTGAATTCCTTATGAACCAAGATACCAATTGATTCAAAGGATTCTGTTAAGCAAACTGTTAACCCGAAAAAGTCTTTATTCCGGTTTGATAACGCTGGCTAATCGCAACGGTAAAAAAGTATGCATTTCAAAAAATGGCGAGAAGTATTGAGTAAAAAAAATTCTGAAACCGAGTTTTTTATTGTAATGTTGTTTGAAACAAACAACTTTTTTGCTGTTCTTTCAAATGTATCAACTATGTGAACTTAATCCTATTCGAATGTCAAAGCACATGCTATCAAAAAGCCGTAATGGTTTCCAAAATTGCACAAATATTTGCAAATTAGGTTAGAAAAAAGAAAAACCGTGGTATATTACTAACGCTCAATAAGGTTCGCTAAAGCAAAAATTGACACAGAGCCGAAGTTGTACTTCGTATACACAAGCAAAAATATTATCGATAACGCTACTGGGAAAACCTGAATGAGTAAACATTTAGGTATACAAAATTTCTTAAGTGAGGCACGACAATTATGTCGCATTAGCAGTACCAGTCAACACTTAAAATTACAAACAGCAATTTGGTCAAGTTTAGTAAAAATACAAACAGCAATTTCTGGGGTAACTCAGAACACTAGCACTTATTAAAAAAAGTTTGAAAAAACCTGAAAACTAAGCCGACATTTTTAACGGACTCTTTCCCGTTTCAAAAAAATAGGTCCCGTCAGTTTCGAGCCCAGGACCTTTGGCGGTCCAGGCGTATTTGTTACGTCCAGACTAAGTGAGCCGGAGATCATTAGAACTTTGAATTCCTTATGAACCAAGATACCAATTGATTCAAAGGATTCTGTTAAGCAAACTGTTAACCCGAAAAAGTCTTTATTCCGGTTTGATAACGCTGGCTAATCGCAACGGTAAAAAAGTATGCATTTCAAAAAATGGCGAGAAGTATTGAGTAAAAAAAATTCTGAAACCGAGTTTTTTATTGTAATGTTGTTTGAAACAAACAACTTTTTTGCTGTTCTTTCAAATGTATCAACTATGTGAACTTAATCCTATTCGAATGTCAAAGCACATGCTATCAAAAAGCCGTAATGGTTTCCAAAATTGCACAAATATTTGCAAATTAGGTTAGAAAAAAGAAAAACCGTGGTATATTACTAACGCTCACTAAGGTTCGCTAAAGCAAAAATTGACACAGAGCCGAAGTTGTACTTCGTATACACAAGCAAAAATATTATCGATAACGCTACTGGGAAAACCTGAATGAGTAAACATTTAGGTATACAAAATTTCTTAAGTGAGGCACGACAATTATGTCGCATTAGCAGTACCAGTCAACTTGAAAACAAAAGAAATTTACCAACTAACATGCCTCAATTTATTGATCAGTCTATGGAGCAGAAATAACATGAAAAAAAAATTTAACAAAGATAAAAATATATTTTTTTTCAATTTCACACGCCATATGTAGCACAAAGTGATAAACTTCGCTCCTAGTAACAAATCTATTATGGCAAATAAGCTTCCTTCAACCAATTTGGAACGATTTCTATGACGGACTAAATCTCCGCTTACGCGTTAATAGCGCGAAATATATCGCGCGTTAATTGTAACAAATTGGCCAAAATGGCAACTTTTAAACCACCATAAATTTACAAAAAACGATCACAGGTGAAATATCGTTCCAAATTTAAGCTCAGGAAAACAATACTTCTTGAATGATATTTTAAAAAATTCGTCACAAACGGCTAGTTAAAAAGTCGAAGTTTGTCTGAAGAAACAAACACCAGAGCACAAATAATGTTACTTTGGTTATGAAAGTCGGAACAATAATAGTCTGTGTTAAAAAACTTAGCATTGGCTCTACTTAATAGTCGATTATTGATCAAAAAGAACACTTTCAAAATGCACTCATTTTATCGCAACAATATTTGCATCGCTACAATATTTAAGACTTAGGTCGGAAAAAAAGATTGCTTGTGTAAAATGAATCAATACAATCATTTAGTTAATTATTACTAAGAGACTTCGACTAGTTATCAATTTGATCGTCTTACCAACAACATAAAAGGCCGAGTCTTCTTCCAGGTTTGCAGAGATTATAGAGCAGGCCATTTCGTTTGGATTGAGTCTAAACGCATGCAGCGGCTCACAGGTGTGCTGATCCAAAATGACTACAGACGAGATATCGGCGCCATCGTTGCTTTCGTTCTCATTTCCAGGTGATGCGCTGTTAACTGAGCCCGAAAAACTTCGGTTAGTCGTCGTGTTTAATGAGGCGTTAGTCGTATCCATCCGGACTAAAAACCAGAGGTCCTGAATTAGGGGAAGTTTAAATACTGATAATACTTGAAGAATACTTAACAAGAATAGGTCCCTCTAATTTTCAGCCTTTATTGATGTCATTTGGCATAATTCTTCAAAAAAAACAGGACGTGCTTTTTCTCTTACACGAATCTTGGAGATTTCCAAAACTGCGATCGAAACTATCGTCCATTGCAGTGCCGCCTGCTTCGGCCGAGTCCACTTGCTGTGGGAACTGGAACTCGCTAGCCTGTCTGTCTTCTGAGTAACCACTGTGCGACAGCGCGGCTAAACTGGCTGCATTAGGGTTGTCCTCCGACATTAATGATAACAGTGACTTCTGAAATGGAAACAACTCGTCCATTAGCATTACCAAAAACGAAACAAATTCAAAAATACACTCGGATGTTGAATCAAGATATTTCGTTCTGTATGCTTCAGTTCAAGATTCATGAGTATAGGAGAAATTGTTGAACATTTACAATTTAGGACTTACTGCTACTTTCCTTCATCAACTGAATAACTTCAAGTTTTTTTTCACATTTTTCTGCTAATGACTTGACGAGGAATCTTCAATAATTAAACCAACCAAATTACAGTCGTCTGCGGAATAAAAAAAATTTACAACCATTTTCAATGAATCCTTTCGGCCACTAACCCTTTTATCGTGTCTTTTAGTGAGTAGTCCATAAGTCTGAGTCTCCTTCTGAAATGCCATTGCATGAGGCGTCTCGTAGAGATGAATTGTGCGGATGTGTAGCTTCTGGATCTGGTCCATGGCCCCAATGGTCAGAGTCGACTCATTGCACAGCACCAGACAGTTCTGGTACGCTTCTGCGTTGATGGAGCACATGTGTGTTACCTAGGAAAAACCATATGTCCTCAACTAATAAAAATAATTCGACAATATTTCTCCTACACTTTTGTTACCGTTGACTTTATCCCATAAAACTCTAGTGGCCCAGATAAGGGTGGAGGTACCTGTTAGGTATTTTTTAGAATATACTGTCATGATGCGAGAACTGCTTAAAAATTTTACAAATGCCAAGATTAGACTTTTCCCAAAACAAAAGCGTTTTCTCTGCGAAAAAGGATCAGCCGCTTACTCCTGCTAAAATCCTGCTACCTGTTCTTTCGATTGAACCCTTAATTATACATTGGTGAGGGCAATTTTCAAAAAAAAGTTTCAAAACAAATTGTCATAAAATGGCCTTTTTTCAAGTCTGTGACAGTTTTTTAAACCACAATCGAGGAGTAGTCACTCATGCAGGTACGATTCCCCCAACCTTTTCTTTCGATTGAACTTTTCAGCTCAGATTCGGTACAGTAGTATTCCAGTATCACAAAAACGGTAAAAGTGTCAAAAATGGCCTTTTCCCAAGTCCGTAGCAGTTTCCCTAAAACAATTTGGTAGCAGCTGCTTATTTCAGGAAAAATTATTCATGTTCTTTCGATTGGATTCTTGTCCCCAAATCAACAGGGAAGTTTTCGAGAAAAGTTACCAAGAAACGATTAAAAGTTTAAAAAGTGCACTTTTCCTACGGTCATAACTTTTTTCTACAAAATAAGGACGTATCTGCATATGAAGAGGATCATCAGTGCCTGTTCTTCCGATTGAACCCTTAATCTAGGATTTGAAAGAAAATTTAAAAAATGAGTAAATTTTTTTGCAAATTTTCTAAGGCCGGAGAGACTAGCAGATTATGCAGGCACACATGTGAGCAGCTGTTCCTCTCATTAGTACACTTGATAAAACCAACAGTATTTTTCAAGAAAACAAAAATGCGAAACAATTCCAAGTCTCACAAATTTTAAAAAATAGAATAATCCGATACAACTTCATAATACCGTTTTTATCCTTGACACAGCTTATTTCTATTTCATAAGTCACTGAAAACACAAATCACTCACTTACAACATGAAATCACTGAAACCTAGAGAAAACTGCATAAAAATGAGGGCCCAAAAAGCCGCGAGTAGTAAAATAAGTCCGATGTAACAGTAAGAAGCCACATAAGATGACTCACATCTCTCAAGTTGACATTTGAGAAGAGGAGTTTCTTGCTCACTGAATAGATCACAGTGGGTCTATCACTGCATGCGAAGATGTTCTTGGTTGAGCCCCCATTCGTCTCGAAAGCCGACAGAGTTGTCGGCTGGGTTCCTGATTGTTGCAAAAATTACATTAGTACTTATCTCATCTACTGTTATTTCTGAATTTGGTAATTTTGGTCTTGCTGTTCATTATTTCAAAATGTATCGCAATCACTATTTAATGAAAGCCACTCTAAACATCACTTGGTACTGCGAAGACCCAATTCACTTACCGAGATTGATTTTTCGACGTTCACTCAGCACCCTGTTCAGATAGTCGAACTTGAAATAAACCAGAGATCCATCGCCCAGTGCATACAGCAAATATGGCACGTCGTCCAACTTACACATCATACACGACCTCGGAATAATCTCCCCGCCTAGTTTCTGTGTGCACGACTCAATTTCCACAAATTCACTTTGATTGTCACCGGGTAGCAAAAACAATCGAGCTGTTATATCTGTCCATAATCCCACTGCAACTATGTCGCTAAATTTAGAGTCGGTCAGAGGAGTGATGTCCAGGCAGGCCACTTCGTAGGGCATTTCGAACTCCCGTCCCACTTGGAAGATGAGTCTTTCTCTGATTACCAAGTAGTACACTTTTCGTCCAGTTGCCACTATTAGCTGGGATGAATTACACGCCACTTTACTGAAATAAAAATAAGGCAATGCCTTTTACGCCTTTCGATGAAGATAGTTTCAACATATTGGTGCTTCGTGCGTCCAATAAAACACATGACTTTCTGAGTTGCGACAGAAAACTTTCATTTACGTGAAAGTGTATAAAACTTGAAATTATTTAGTCTCATCAGAACCATAATTAGAATCAATTGACAAAGAAAGTATCACTTTATAGGAATCCATTCGTTTCAAACACGGAACTAAAAGTAATAGAAGCCGAGCACTCCTCACCTGATAGTATTAGAAACAGGTGGTTTCCACTCTGTTATCACCTGACCACTTGTATCATCCACCAGACGAACAAAATGTGACGTCACTTGCACAATCTGTTCACAACTCACATTACCAGCGAAAAGCGTCTGCGAGTCACAACTGAAACCCGCTATATCAAACTCCTCCACGTCTTCCCCTGAGAGACGGAGCATTCGCGTTTGGCCGACAAAGGATAGTACGAGAACGTTGTGGAAACTATTTGGAGGGTTGGAGTCTAGCTTGAGCGTCCAAACACCCTTGATTCCAAAGAGATCTATGGATGCCATTTCTTGGATTCCGATTCCATTTCTGATGATTCGCAAGGTCCCCTCTAAGCGAATGATAAAAATCACATATCAAATGTAAGTGTTAATAGAACTTGAAGATAAAAATCCACGTTCCACGATTTCACTAGATGTTAATTCAACTTTTAACTTCAACCCACTACCATTTTCATCACCATCTCCAAAATTTCAAACTACTCAGAGAAGAGAGTCACTGAATACAGGTAGAATAAAGCAGGTGCCAAGAGCATGAAAACGTCAATTTGGAGATCCTACCTGAGTCGTATCCGGAGCAAGTGACAATTTCATCCGGTCCCTGGTTCTCATTTCTCACTACTGTCAAGTCCACGATGGGACCCAGATTGGTGATGGTCTCCACGATTGAGAGGTTACTCTCCTGGTCACTCTCCTGCACCAGACACTCGTTCAGCTTCACCACCTGCAAATCAGAAAACATCCACGTACTGAATTCGTTTTGACGAATTGCTTGCAACGACTTCGGCAGCCTCAAGTGTTCAGAAACAGAATGCTAATACTATTTTTACCGAAACCAAAAATGCCTAGATTCGGAGCTTTAAGACTCGAAAATTAACCCAATTTCTTAGTCTCTAATTTCTTTTTTTTTTGCACAATACAAATTATACTACAGCACAGAGTGGCCCAGATTGACAGAATAAAAAAGCTTCTTGGTCTACTTTTTCAATAAATAAACTTGGTAAAACTCCGAAGAAATGTTCAGCACAATTTTCAGTAAAAATCAACATAGGTTCAAATGAAACTAGCGTGTAACGCACCTCCGTTGCTTCGAACTTTTGACAAATCATAAAAACGGCATATCTCGAAAACCAAAATTATTTGAGCGGTCAAACTAGGAAACAAGATCTGCAATCTCTGAGAGTACCCTAACAGCACCGAATTACATGGTTGGTAATTCCATTTTTGTATTTTTTTATTTCAAGTTTTTTATTCAAATTTTGAAAAATCATAGAAAAGTCATATCTGACTGCTCAGGTTTGAATTGAATTCAAACCTGAGCAGTCAAAGTTGAAGGAGAATCTCAGAAACCACTGAGAGAAACCTGAGAGCGACCCACAATACGGTTCGAACTTTCAAAGAAATTTTTCAAAAACCATAAAAACGTCATCTCGTGAACTTAAAATATTCTGGATGCTCATATTTGCTGGCCAAAATTGCAACCCCTGGAGAGCTCTGATAGCATACCTCTATGGGGTTACTAATTCAAACATGAGATAATCACTGAATTCAAACTATTAAATCGAAAAAAAATCTTAAACATTGCAATATGCGATAAAGCGGTGATTATGAAAGCTACGAGCCTATGAGAAGCCAATCAGTATTCACCGCATGCTCGACAAGATCCTAATTTAAAAAAAAACAATCAACGTGCCCAAAATAAAAGAACAACAAGCTGCGGAGTGTTGCTCAAGTTCGTGCCAATCTATCGAGTACGCATCACCAGTCTGGACTCCTATCGCTGCGCAGACCCACGTAGAAACGCTGCAGAAAGTCCAAAACGCAGCCCTTAGAGTGGCCACAGGATGCACCACGATGACCGCCAACCAGCACTTACACGACGAGACGAAAACCCTACCCATCAGGCGGCACATACGTATGAAAGCAGTCCAGCACCAGTTGGCCCATCATCTTGAAAGACACCCTGGCAACAGGCTGCTAGACCGACCGGAAACGCATAGAAACATGAAGGAAGCGCTCTTCAGTAGGTACGAGAGGTACGTCACTGCACTCCTAGAAACATCTGATTCGGAAGCAGACGACGACGATGATGACATAGGGCCTCCAACACACATAACCGAAGATGATACAGAGGGCTCCTCAAAAAAGCGCATACAAACGAGGTCAAAGACGCCCTAGACAACCGGGACAACAACAAAGTACTCGACGAACCAGCCCCTTAACTCAGCAAGGACGAATTACGACTACCGAGAAGTACCAGACGGACCCTTGTCCAGTTGCGGAGCGGTTATTCCCCATTCCTACAAAGTTATCTGCGCAGACTAGAAGCATGCCCACAGCATGCGAAACAACCTCAGAAGCATGCCCACAGTGCAACACAGAAACCCACACAACGTGTCACCTATTCAGGTGCAGCGACCTATTCAGGTGCAGCGCAAACCCGACCACACTCGACCCCCACGCTCTCTGAGAAAACCCAATCGAGACAGCCGCTTGCTTACAACTCGAGACAGAAGAAGCCACAAACGACGGACAAAAAGAGGGCAAAACTTCGGGCACCTAGGCAACAACAACAAGTTCATTTTCAGATCGCGCAAATTAAAAACGCAGTTTTATCGCTGAAATCGAAGATCCAGAATCATTTATGCAATCACGTGGTTTGCCCAACTGTTTGCTTTGGCTGCGACTGCGACGCCAGCTACATGGATCAAACTGCCCGAAACCTAACCGCTCGTCTGTACAACACTCACGCATCTCATCTCCAGTTGGTGAAATTTTTTTGCAATGTACTGGGAACAGTAGTAGCATCACGCCGAAAGTTATAGATAAATCTAGCGAACATGTTTAAGTTTTGACCTTTGAAGCTCTGCGTATCAACAGTACGAAGCCAGCGGCGATTAATAGAAAAGATAAATGCCACTTTCGCGAACTCACCATCCGCGTTCAATGTTTTCTTTGTATCATCTATCTGTTGAATTGAATGTTTTTCTAAGTTTAGTTTTTTACGCTATTTGTTTTTTTTATTTGTTCATAATTTTGTATTTCACGATGTACATAGGTTTGTACATCTGAATGCTTGCTTTATTTCAGTCTGATGATGATCTATAATTGATCAAAAATGTTTACATTGATTCTTTTTTATCGATATAGCTTAACCGTGAAAAATTTCTCTCGTAAAACATGCAAAAACAAAATGTTGAAGAATCTTAAACATGGCGAGATAGTGAAGTCCGCATTTAATATATAATAGATAGATAGATAGATAGATAGATAGATAGATAGATAGATAGATAGATAGAGATAGATATGCAACTTCTTTGAAAAAACATTGTATAGTTAACGCCACATTTTTGGGATGCTAAAACCAATTATTTCAGTCAACAATTGACATTTGCATTCCGGTCATACCTGACTGTCCCCAACTCTGCTGCCCACAAAAACGTACGAGTTGTCCAAGTACGTGATGCACTCTGGGATGGTCACGTGGCCCAGCAGGGCGATGTCCAGGTTGCGCACTTTTGGGTTATCTGCGGCCGGGTCTGCATCGTGCAGCTGGAGCAGGAACAGTCTGCCACTCAAGTCGCCCAGAAGAAATCTGAAAACCCACTTGTAAAAGTGCCATTGGGCTTGTGAGAAAAAGCCAACAGAAAAGCCAAAATCTTGTTCAGCAAACATTCCACCACTCTTGTTTATATTTCAGTTTAAATCCAAAATGAACCTATAACCGCAAATGAGAGGAGAATTAGATAAATCAATCCCTGTCTATCAGGTTTAGAGCCTTTAAAATGTGTCATGAGACTTACTAACGCCAAGTTTATAACTAAACCACAATCAAACTAAGAAAAACAAAGGTAGCCGATTTTTTTCTTGAATTTAGTTTATTTTTTTTTGTGCGTGGTGTGATGCAAGAACTATAAGTAGAAAGTGCAATAAGAAAAAATAGAAAAATCCTCAAATTGGCAAAATTCGGCTAAGTCTAGGATTCAATCTGCGACTTACTGCAATCAAGAGATTTTCGGTCTCACGCACTATCCACTCAGCCACGCACAATTGAACACCGGAAAACACTAGTTACGAATAAAGCAGCTACATATGCCAATAAATTGCCAATGCGATTCAGCAAAAAAGGCACAAAATATAAATAGACACAATTTTGCAAATAATAATTTGAAATATAACAAACTGAAGGCATCCACATTAACTTGACATGTAATATATCGCAAAGCATAAAACCACATTATGTAAAAATTATGCATTTTAGAAAATTGCGAGATATATTGAAATAGAAAAATTCTGAGAGCGAGTTTTTATGATTGTTATGTTTGAAACAAATAGCTTTTATCGGTTGCATTGATGAATTAAAAATGTATCAATTGTGTTAACTTATTAATATTCGAATGTCACAGCACATGCTATAAAAAATCTGTAATGGTGCCCCAAAAGTGGCACCAATATTTGCGACTTAGGTTAGAAAAAAAGAAGGTTCTTAATAATACACTCAGCAAACGATCCAGCCGAGAGTCGAACAGCAAACTCTAGGGTGCAAAAGCAAGGTCTTTACATCTAGGCCAAGAGGGAAGGAGGTTATTAAGATTCAATAATAGAGCAAGTTGAAAATTTGTACGAAAAGTTGTTTTGCGGGAAAAAGTCTAGTTCCCGATAACAAGCCACTTGCTCCCACAAGTTTAATTATAAAAAAGTTTTTTCTTTTTCTTCTAATTAGTGTCGTTTCTTGAGCGTGGTTAGATGAGAGAAAAATAAAAAAACGTACCAAGCTAATAAATTAAGCATAATTATCAAGAGTTGTCTTCGAAAAAAAAAATTTTTTTTTTGCACAATATAATTGTAACTTAGTAAAACTATATTGCCAAAGCGCTAAATGAAGCTCCCAAAACTAGTTTTCCTGTTAGTAGTACCAAGTTTCTCAGTCTAATGGACCTATTTTCAAATCAATGGAAAAAATCAATGGTCGGAACAACAACCCGGAGCGTTATGTTATCGAACTGGTAACTTGATGAGGCTGCGATCGACATAAAGTTAGATATTGGGGATAAGTACCTGCTATTGAAAAGTGTTAGTTCTTCAATTCTCTGTTAAAGTTCTTCAATCATTCAATTTGTTTCTTTTACGCGTTCAGACGAAAATTTCGCCTTCAGATTAATAATTCAAAAATGACTAACTTATGACTAGAATTTAGCGCATTAATTAGTAATATGTATGAAAGTCAATTAATATGATGAATACCTGTTGTAGTCTATTGATGCACAGACAGTGATGGAGGCGTCCCTGATCGCAGGAGGGGCAATGGGCGCATAGTGTTCTCCCTGGTGGTAGGTGATAGACTGGGCTGCTATAATCAGTACTCCAAACAGAGGTGCCGACACTGGCACCACTAAAACAAAAGAGAACATATTATCGATACTAATAAAAGCCATTCAAACCTATCACTTTTCAGAATGTGCTATTCTGAAAGCTTCATCTGTGTACAATGTGGTCGCAACAGAGAAAAAGAGGCTTGATCCTGTCACACATCTTTGATGCCACAATTGATGCGTGATCAAACTCGCCAAAAAGCATGATCTAACTGAACTCCGCTTGAAAAACTGATATTGAACATCAAACCAGTAAACTTTAATTAAAAAACGGCTTTTTTGGTGGTAATATGAAAACATAGCCAACTGACAGTTGGAAAAGAGTAATGAACGCAAGGAAACTGAAAAAAACCGACTTGTTTTCAAAAATCTTCAATTTTTGAATTTCAAAGAAAAAAATAGATGGCCTTAAAGATCTTTGAATTTGTAGAACAACTTATGATGGACACTTTTATGTTAAAACTAACCCAATTTGAGAAATCTGGCTCACTAGATAAAACTTTTAATTCGATGGGAAATCTGATTATTAATTTCCCTTTTCGAAATAATAATAATTGTAGTTCCTGCGAATCGCAGAGGAGCTATCAGTGTAGGCCTTAACAGTCCTGTCGAGGATAGTCCATTTGTATTATCTCCCCACATTCCAGACAGTGTTATTTTGCTGAGCGAAGCTGTTTTTTTTTTTTGCGACTCAAGGCCGTTTTTTTGCGTCTAGAACTTTTACGTGGTACGATTATAGAAGTCGATCACGTTTTTCGTGCCCTTTACAATTTTTCTGTTCGATAGTGGAGTATGCCTTCCTTTAAACAATAAAAATGCACTGAACTTAAAAAGGAATCAAGAAAAACTGCGAAAAATCAAAAGTGAGCGAGAACAAATTTTAAGACTTTTCCTAAAAAGAAACATCAGCAAGACCTATATATAACTCACTATGTTCATTACTCTTAAAGAATGTGAGCTAAAAAGTGTCTTCGTCGCTTTCATATAGACTCAATTACCCATGTATGATTCTATCTCGATGTTGTCCTGCTTCCATGGTCCTTTGCAGAGGTCTTTGCTGGCGACATTGATCTCGTATGTCTTGGCGTGTCTGCCTCCCTGGGTCTGGTAGATGAGACAGAGAGTGGGGGTAGTCTCACACCCTTGCAGAAATGTCATGTCTACTATGTTAGTCTCCTCACACCTAACTGTGAACGCAGTCATCTCTGTCAGGTCAGGGGTCAATGGGATAATCTGAAACAAGAGCACCAAATTTTAACGTTAGGGGAATTTTTCACAAATTTAGCACAAAAATAGTAACTAGCTTACACTCAACACTAGTTTGTCAAAATATAATCAACCAAGGTCAAACAAACATACTAATTTAAAAACTTAAAACCTTCGAAGTAGATTCCAAAAACAGTTCAGTTCAAACCTTGATGTTTGCGTCGTATATGCTAAGCGCAATGCATCTGCATTTGGAATCAATAGTCGCTTTCATTCCCGACTCCGACAAGCGACCTACTCTTTCTTTCATGTTGCCATGGCACCGAGTAACGACTTCAAACTCGTTATTCGACCCCTCCTTTCCAGGCTGGAACTCCAAAATTGCCGCGTCGAATTTTTTGGTCAGCATAAACAAATAGTCCTTGTCACTTCCCATTGGTCGGAATGCTTCCAGACAAGTTAAGCGTCCATAGATCGGAACATCCTGAAACAAACTGTGATTACCACAAAAAGCGACACGCTTCAAAATAATTCATTTTACACAGATCTTATGTATTTTCGGGAGCCACTTCGCAACATTTTGGTGGTTCGTAATACCGCGCACGCTCGGCCGAGACTCTGCTGATCGGATTCGAGCAGAAGTGTTTAGCGGAGAGGACTAGTTGAAGAAAATTAACAATTAAACAATTATGCACTAAACTAGTAGAAAAAATCAAAAACTAGTATTCCTGAACTATAACTTTTAAATCAAAATGTTTAATCAAAATGTAGTCGAAGTATTTCAACTTCGAGTACATTTTGATTTTCCGCACAGGCGAAGCGGAGCTTAACACCATGAAGATAGAACAGCGCGCCAGCAGACAAAAACTAAGATGAATTTGAATTTAGACTCAAAATGAACTGTATTCAAGACAATTCGAGAAAAAAGTGTATGAACATTTTGTTAGATCTAATTGACAATGTTTTTTTTTCGACTAAGCTGCTTTCGTCACACTTTCTGTTTTTTTTTGGGCCAGTGCATCATATATTTCGAGCAACAGTAGTGTATAAAGGGCTGACACGTTATCCAGTACTTCTTAGGAAGATTCTAAGAAGGTAGTTATATTCCGATCTTGTCCAGACCCACACTACGCCCCCCTCCCGTCGTGCCTCAGGGTAGAATTTGTTGTTGTTGCGCAGGCCCTCACAGCCCGTCAGTTTTGGTCGCGGCTCTTTTTGGGTCTGTTCACAGGGTTTCTGGAGCAAGGTTGGCGAGGCATGCTAGCACGTGTTCCACTGTCTCTTTTCCCTTCTTACAGAATCGGCATATGTCTGTTTCGGAGGCGTTAATTCTGTGAAGATAATCATTGAGTTGAGAACAGAAACCACTTCTTATCTGGGCGAGCCCGACTTGTTGTTGTCTTGTTAAGGTTTTCTCCATTTCGTCGATCTTGTCTTGATTCGTTGGGGGTTGAGTGTTGAGAACTCCGTTTGGCTGTAGATTTGCTATGGTATCAATGACGTAGGCTTTGTGTAGGTTCTCTCTCGTGCCTTCTTCGTCTGTATGTCAAGCGTTGTTTGTGCGGTTTTCAGGTGGTTACTCAAGGATTTTTGGATTGTTCTTCTTTCTTCGTTATTTGCTGCTTGTAGCTCGTGGCAGGCGTGGTCGGGGTTTTTCATGTCAGCTGCAAACTCGCTAGCTAGCATTTTGTTGTGGGTTTTCACCGGCAGTCAGAGTGTATCTTGTCGAAGGTGGTCGATTGCTGTCATTCTTTTGCACCCTGTGGCGGTTCTCAGTGCGTCGTTCTGTCTTGCTTCCAGTTTCCTCCAATGAGTTTCTTGAGTCCCTGTTTTCTGAAGGTGATGGCTCTGAGGGCATTGCTTCTGTTGCTAGCTATGTTGTTAAGGATTTTTGCGTGTTCTCCGAAGGATATTGAGAGGTCCAGTGTGACGCCAAGTAACTTGATGTTGCGCTCTGTTGGTGTTTTGGCCCCTTCCCTCTGTTGATGTTCAGGTCGGTCTTCCATTCTGCGTTCCAGGTGCTGAAGGGCATGGCTGCGCACTTGGTAGTGGAGACATAGAGCTGTTTGGATTTTAGGTAGCGGGCGAGAGTGTCGAGATAACTGTTGATCATTAGTGCGGCCGTATATATTTTAGTGTTTTGGCAAAATATGGTGATGTCATCTGTATAGATAATTGTTTCAACTGCTGACGGCTGGGGAATGTCTTGGAGATACCAGGTGAAGAGAATGGGAGACAGGAGACTCCCTTGTGGTACTCCTGTTTTGAGCACTGTCGACTTTGAGAGGACTCCTTTGTAGCTGGTTCGCTGTTCTCTGCCTCTGAGGTAGCAGGCTAGCCATTTCTTGATAGTGGTGTTGAGCCTAGAGTTAATGATCATGTTGATTAATTTGTCGAGGTTAACAGTGTCAAACGCCCGTTTAAGGTCGATGGCAACGGCTGCGGTGCGCAGGGCTGGTTTCTTGCAGTTGAAGCCCTTGATGACTTTCTCAGTCAGGGAACACACGGCAGTGACAGTTGAGTGACCCTTCTTGAAAGCGTGTTGTTGCTTTGGCAGGTCCGTCGCTGCTTGCAGTTGGGGCAGGATAATTATCTCGGCAAGTCTGGCTAGAGGTGGTAGTATACTCACTGGTATGTAGCTATCGGGCTCGTGGGCCGGCTTGTTCGGCTTCTGTAGAGGAACCACTTTAGCGTTTTTCCAGATAGCCGGGATCCTTCCCGTGTTGAGCGACAACTGGATAAGCTTAGCCACATAGGAGCAGGTGGTCCACATAAAGTGCTTCAGTTGAAAGGATGCCATTCCGTCGGGGGCAGCTACTTTAGAGTTGAACATCTTTCCTATCGCTTTCAGAACATCTTCGGTGGTGATGGTGAAAAAGTCTTCCTCAGTGGGCTTCAGCTTTGCAGCATTCCGTTTACTTTTCCTTGTTTCTGGCAAACTATTTACTTCGCAACTGTTCGCGAGGAAACGGTTCAACTTGTCGGCAATTTTCTTGGTTTTCGTGACCACTTTTCCGTCGAATATGAGGGCGGTGTTTCTCTGTGGATGTTTCTTGTCGTTGATCTTGCTGACAGCTTGCCAGATTTTCCCTGTCGAAAGGCGAGTGTTCTTTTCCACGAATTCCATCCTTTTTGTTTTCCTGCGGTTGAGGATTCTCTTTTTTTTACTCAGCGTTCTTCTGTGAAGCTGTGGCGTGGTCAATAGCGGTGTGGTCATTTTTCCGATCTCTGCGGGGAGGAAGGGGGTGTTCTGGTGATGGCAGCCTCTGGAAATGTTCTGTTCAGCGGCTCTCGTAGCCGCCTCTCGAAGGAGTTTCTCGCTTTCTTCGGGGTTGGTCGGCTCCGGGAATGCCGAAACTGCATCGTCCAGTTCTTTTTCGAACTTTTCCCAGTCGGCTTTTTTAATGTTCCACATGCAGTTGTGCTTGTGTTTGACTCCAACTCTGACGTCGTTTGTCTCCACTGTGATCAGTAAGAGGAGATGGTCACTCATCTTGTTATTGATGGTGTGCCAGTTGGTCAAGAGTGCAATGTCGTCAGTGGCTGCTGTTATATCAGGAGAGGACGGCCTAGTATCGCTGAAAGGAAGCCTCGTCGGACAGTTTTTATTGACGACAACCAGGTTGCTGAGAGACAACACCTCTGAGATCTCGCTGCCTCTAGTGTCTGGTTGAATAGGAGAAAGCCAACGTCCGTTGTGCGCGTTGGCGTCTCCCATAGCTAGCATTGTAGCGATAATTGCTTCGATAATTGTAGCTAGTCCCCCTCCGTTTCTCGTACGATCTCTGCGGATGATGGAGTAGCCGTCTATCTTCGGACTGGGGCTTTGGGGTCCATTTTGGTTTCTTGGATCAGAGCTGCCATAGTTTTCAGAGATGATGTGGTTTTGCTCCTGAGGCCGTTGATGTTCAGTTGGAGGAGTTTGATGTCGGTCTTGGGGGCTGTCTTGGTTCTGAGGTTCGCTTGCGGTTGGACTTTGCAGGTGGAGCAGTACCAGTAGATCCACCTGGCTGTGTAGAGGTCCACGTTCGCACACTTGATATGGCACCAGTTCTTGCAAGTAGTGCATTGTAGACAGGAGTATTTGCAAACAGGGGAACTTCGGCACCCGGGTTTTGTTCAATACCTGCGATGAGGAGGAGTGCCCTGATGACGCTTCTGGACACTCGTAGGAGGGCAACCTTTGAGTGCCTTGACAAAAACACGTCGGGTGTGAGGTAAAGTTGTTCTTCTGCTTGGCACATCGTAGATGTGTTGTTGGCTAGGCGAAGACGAGGGAAGATTTGCCAACAGGGTAGAATTGAATCAGCATTGCAGTAACTGATTGTGTAGAATTGAATCAGCATTGCAGTAACTGATTGTGTTTCATTTCTGGTATCGTCGCCCATATCGGTGAAACACTGAGCCGAGAGTCAGGAAAGCGTTCGAAGCCAAGGTTCTGAGCTAACGTTGAGACGCTATTGGCCATCAGGAGCAGGTACCATTGATGGGCTACAACTAGCGTTCAGCCCGAGAAGATCGCTCAGGGTACTCCCAATCTTGAACTCATACCTCCACCGACTTAAACTAACAATCCAGGCGAATGTCAAATGTGCTTCAACTATCCCAATGACATCATCTAGCCCTTCTTCTATCTCTCATCACCCAGCCCAATGACTGCTGACTAGTATCTCCGTTTGGTCCAGTTCCGCCGAAGAAGTTAACTTCCTCGGATTAAATTCTAATTCAAGTGACTCAGATGCTGGCTCATAGCCTCGACCATGAAACTTTTCCCGTCCCTTTTCCCGGGGAGGTGTTACACTGATACGATAAGAGCAAAAAATTTTGACGTCTTCGCACAGCTGTTTAAACTCCAACCATTTTGACTACGGTTTTTATTAGTGGAACAAGCGACAAAAGCAGACACAACGATTGACATAGTTACTGCAATTGGGGCCCCTTTCTCACCCAGAGGCATCGAGAGAGCTGCAGTGTAGTTCTTGCGCGAGATGAAAATAAAGCTAATTTTAGAACTTCATAAGCACTGATTCGCAGAAGAGTGTGTACACAGAATTCGCAGAAGAGTGTGTACACTTGAGTAAATTAGGACCTCTGAAAGATCAATTACTCAAGTTGACATCTAGACTACTCAATGCCGCCAACAAACATGTTGGCGAAACCGAACGACAAAAGCACAAAAAAGTCTACATATTCAGCTTCGTGATAGAACAGCAAACTGTAAGCGCGAAGAAACGATAAAAACAATCAATAGGCTAAAACAATCAAAACAATAGAAGAAATCCATCTGCAAAAGACTAAAAGAAATCGAAGACGCAGAATGCAAAGAATCGAAGACGAAATCAAATCTACAGATGAGTCTAGTCGTATGTTCAGGGCTCTGAAATCACTAAAAGCATCTGTTCCGTCGCCAACTGTTTCAGTTTTTAATGAAAATGGCAGGTTTGCGGGAAACGATCAAAAGAAGTGCAAGATTTTGAAGTCTTCCTACGAAGCTAAGTTAAGAGATAACTCCAGCCATGCTCATATTCAGTATTTCACTGGAAAACCTAAGCCTCTGAATTTACCTATTAGAGTTGAAGAAGTCAAAAAATCTGCTAGAAACCTTTCAAATGGTAGTGCATGCGGACCCGACAACATAGCCAATGAGTTTATCAAAAAGTGCAAGCCAGGCTTTTTACGAACATTTTGCAGAAATTATCACTAGGTCTTCTGAACAACACGAAGAACTGGATTTCAGTATTGGGATTCTTATACCACTCCCAAAACCACAAAAACCACGAGGTATTCCAGCAAATCTGCCACCCATCATTCTACTTAACAGCACAAGCAAACTGCTATCCTTGATTACGCTAGAGCGTATCAAGCCTCTGTTAGACAATTGAACAGAAGAAACGTAGTGCGCCTATAAAAGCGGAAAAGGCACAGGCGACATTGTTTGGTAACAGAGAACGGTGTTGAGCGTAGTAGTGAAGAAAAAATGGCACTTTGAGAAACTCGGCCGCGCTTTCGATACAATAAAGCGGAACACAATTCTCGATGTTATCGAAGATGCAGGCGGGAGCGTAGATGACTTGAGACTTGTGAGGATACTTTTAGCAGAGACGCAACTTCAAGTGAAGGTCGGCAAAAATGCATCCGACGTTTTTGAAACTACCATTGGCAGTTTGCAAGGGGACTCTCTTTCTGGCATCTTTTATCTTTTTCATTTTGTATCTAGCTGCCGCTTTACGTCTGGTCCGTTCCCTTCTCAGCAGACCAAATCCTTCTTACAAAGAGTGCTCTCTCCTAAGGGAATCTGAATACGCTGATGATGTCGAATTCATCTAAAAAGATTTTGATGAACTGAGTAGCATTCACACTACAGTTGAAAATGCCTAGGAGAATGGAACCTCATTATGAATACAAGCAAAACTGAGTTCACAAAAGTGTACATCGCTACCGCCGAAAAAGACCAACATGGTAATTTGGTTAGAGGCAACGAAGAGTGGCGCAAAGCCAAATTGCTAGGATCTCATCTCTGCGCAAAGTTCGACATTCAGTAACGTATCACCAAGGGAAATGCGGCGTTTGCCTCCTACAGAAAGGTTTGGCTGTCGAGAAAAAACTTGAGCCTCGGAAAGAGAATCAGAGCATACGAAGCCTTAGTGGTCTCGACAATGATGTACAACGCAGGCAGCTGGGCTGCGACATCATAGTACCTACATAAGCTTGATGTTACACAAGGATCTCACCTCTGATTCATTTCAAACATCAAGTGGCCAAACCGGATATCTAACGATTCCATATACAAATATCGAAAACAACTCCACTTTCATTTCGCATAGAGAAACTTAGTTGGCGTCAGTTCGGCCATATTCTTCGCCAGCCTAAAAGTTCACTAACAAGACTTTCCCTGTATTTTGTTGTTTTTAGTAGCAAGCAATTTCCAGGAAGAAAAGGGCGGCATCAAAAAAAACTTAATAGACCTTCTCAAGCACGATTTGGTAAGAGGACAACTAAAACTTGATACTGAATCAGATATTCAACTGATAATTAGTCACGCGTCTGATCGCAAATTTTGGAACTGACTTTATGATTTTGGGTCGACTGACCAGAACTCTAGGTGGTCACGCTGCGTTTAGTTAGGTTAACAGTAATTGATCATGATGATAAGCACTGAACGATTCTCAAAAACAGACAAACAAACTCCATACATATATGAAAAACTGAACAACAAGTCAGCTCATTTCAAACGATACTTACGCAGAAGAAACTATGCGCAGCCGCAAAAAGGCAACATCAAGAACAACAAAGTGAAACTAAGTAGCTATATCGTCAAAAAAATGAGATGTAACAAATTTTCAAGGTTTGTCACGAATTGCCTGGAAGGAAATTAATTTTTGAGAAAACAAACCCCCCAAAAAACAAGTGAATTCTGGATTGGCTTCAAAAAAACTTACGACGTGGTAACAAAGCCGACAAAAATTGAGCTGATACATGTGAGCCGAAAAAATGGCCTTATTAATGCCTGAATTCAATTTATTCGACGCTTACGCCTTAATAAGACGGAATAAACTGCTCGGTTATCAAAATAATTATTTTTACGTATTAAAAAACGCCAAAATCAAAGACCTCGGTTCATTTTCACAATATTCACCTCGGTTCATTCAAAAGTGAGTTGTTGATCTGCACATGTGCTGTAAATATAGCGAATATACGTGAGAAGACAAGGTTCAGTGGTTCGAATCCGACCAGGACCTGTGTGAGAGGGAAATTTTTTGCGTGACATCAATTTTTTGTCCGAGTTTTTTGTCTGCTCACTTTTTGTCGGTTAAGTCGCCACCGTACGGACACCGTTCGAAGAAAGGTTTGCCTCCTACATAAGTTTGCTTGTGCTGTAAGTCGCCACCGTTCGAAGAACTTTTGAATGAACCGAGGTGAATATCTCGGTTGAGTACGGAGGCGACTTAACCGACAAAGAGTGAACAGACAAAAAACTCGGACAAAAAATTGATGTCACGCAAAAAATTTCCCTCTCACACAGGTCCTGGTCGGATTCGAACCACTGAACCTTGTCTTCTCACGTATATTCGCTATATTTAAAGCACATGTGCAGATCAACAACTCACTTTTGAATGAACCGAGGTGTCAAATGATCCGAGTTACTTGAACTGTTGAACAATTGTTGAACTAATTGTTAACCTGAAGAAACAAACTCCCATTTGGTAAAGCTTGCTAATTGCAAGCGTAACACAGAGGCGATGCAAAGCTTCGCACCAGTTGCGATACAAAATAACAGAGAATGCCAGAGGTAGCCCAAAGCCACCAGCAAAAAATCAGAAACACGCAACAAACCACCCATTTTCATAAATGCCCTGTCGCGAAACGCGGTTGCTTTAATTATTAAGGTAGTAATAAAAAAATCAAGGAATGTAAACATGCAGACGAAAATGGTTAGATGCCCCTGAAGCCGGAAAAGATGATCACAAATTTCAAGATAATGATTTTAGAAATTCGAAGTTTTGAAATTCAAAAAAAAATGTTTCCAAAAAATTCGAAAACAAAAAATTCGAAATTTTGGGTTGTCTCCGAGGCATACAAACCAACTCAACCTTGATTTCGATTATCTAACGACGTGATATACAGAAACTAAACGATAAAACAAGCCAAAAGCATTCAAGTTGTAAATTTGAACCCGAATTATACTAAATCGTGGAATACAGACAGCTACCAAAGTTATTAAAGAAACTCATAACAGGCAAACAAGGCCCATACCAAAGTTGTTAACGGGGAAAAAGCATATTACCAGGTTGCAACACCCTTGCTTATCGCAAGGGGAAAAATATAAGGTAGTTAAGCCGAGATAATTAAGGCCGACACATAATAAGCTGAAAATAAGCCGAAACTTTTTCAGAGAAAAAATCACTTTTTAAGAACTTGCATGTACAAACTAAAAAGCAATCACGAACCACTACATAAGCGACGGAACATATAAGATGTAGGTTGTACATTAGTGATTTACCATTACTAAAAGCCTTCTATTGACCATTCTGTGAACCAGGTTATTTACGGGGAAAAAGTCTAGTACCCGGTTGCAATACCGTAGCTGTTTGTAGATTATCGCAAGGGTAATCATTGCCTTCACCAATTTCCCTATAACCCAAAAATCAAGATTTCGATTGACATAAAGTTCAATACTCCGATCTCATTCAAGGACGAATGCTTGTAACAGTATTAGAAAGGGCAATATAGCAGACTTTGCTAACGCCATGAAAAAACTCCGGGGTCTTTTAACCTGTGCTTTTGCAAAATAAATCATGGTCATTTTTCACTCCATTAAATTTTCGATTTGGAAATATATTAGCCACGATGAACAACATTATTCCACTTTTTCCATAGATTGCATCATAATACCATGTCATAGTAGCAGATAATACCACTATGAAAAGAACTGAAGTGTTCGGGGAAGTAGCAATGAGCTAAAAATTTGTCGACTGGAGGATATTTCATTAAAGCTCTTATCACAATTTGATCAAACTTCAAATTTTGATTGCCAAAAGTAGCTAACCCTGGAAAGTTTGAGTCCTTCCGGCTGGACGTAATAGACCTCGAGGTGTGAGAACTTGGCCACGATGAGGTTGATGTCATTTGGGGCTGTGAAGTTACCCGTGATACAGTGACTGACTGCTGTGGGTTTGTGGCCACTCACCACGTAATAGTTGCCACCTGTCACTCCACTTGAGGTATTCATGTTCGGTCCTTCTCAAATGGGAGCAGGAGAGGTCAATGCCGAAGTCGACTATTAGGAAACTGAATTTCAACTCACTGATAGGTTGTCAGTATTTTTATTACTATTGAAGGTCCTGAAAACAGTTCAGATCACACAGTTACCTCTCTAATTTAACGAGCAAAACACGAGCAGCAAAAAAACACCATTAGAAAAAAATGTTCGAACTTCAAAGAAAAAATAATGGTCTTAAGCAGGGGCGGATCTGGGATTTTCTCGAGGGGGGCGGATTTTCAAAAAAAATTTGTGAAAACTTAGTCGACCTTTTTTTTAGGTACACGGAAAATGGATTTTTCGAGCTCTTCTTAAGCACAGTTTAGTCCTGTTTTGGCCAAATTTTCTGCGCCGCAGAAAATTTTAGGCACTTTTTGGAAAGTTTTGGCCATATTTTAGGCCTACTCTAAATAAGTATATATTGGCGCCAAAGGCGCCTTCAGAAAAATTTCAGAGTCGGTCGCCAAAAATGGATTTCTTAAAAAGTACCAAAGGGGGGACCCTTTGGGTCAAATTCCTGAGGAGAAGGCGTCCGCCCCCCCTTAAATCCGCCCCTGGTCTTAAGGCTCTTTGATAGACTTTTTTGATAGACTTTTTTGAAACAGATGCGAAGCGGAGCTTCGCGCCACTTGCGTAAAACGCATAACACAAATAACATAACCAGTCAAAAAAATGAAACGAGTTGAAAACTACGTCTACCAAAATTCAAAAAATTTAAACTTTCGTGTCTCGTTCATTTCAGGTAAACATGTCTGACATTTGAATGTCTGACATAAGTCGAAAAAAAGTTTAGATGTTGAAAAAAACTAGGTGAACCAAATTCTCGATAAAAAACAACTATAGGCCAAGCTAAAGCTGGAGGTACGTGTTTAATATTGAATGAGTTTGCTATACTGATGCGGCAAGAAAAGTTTGATTTCAAAAATTGTACTTTGGCTAAAACATTAGGTGTTTCTCAACTAAAACAATTTAGTAGAGTAAAAAATTTTAAGATAATGAAATTAGCCAAGGAGATAAATAATACTTCTCTTACAAACAATTAAGGATTCGCTGCTTCTGCAACCCGTTCTTTCAATGTACTTTTCATCTGAGATTTGATTGTGTAAAGTTTAAGAAAATTCAAAATGTTTCTAAAAAACGGTCAAAAATTCTAATAAACGTTCTAGAGACTTTCCAAATTACAACGTTAAGCGGCCTTAACCTGCAAAAAAGCAGGTTAGGGCCGTTTAATCGGAGAAGATTTCCAAAGCCGGGTTTCTCGAATGAACACAACCTGAGAATTTGGTCCGTTAGTTTTCGCGTAATCCAATAAATTTCCAAAAAACTGTCGAAGGTTCCAAACTTTGACTTATTTAAGGCCATAGTTGAAGGCCAAAGTAAAAAAAAACGGTCAACAAATGAAAAATTTGACAATTCCGAGAATCATAGAATTTTAACTGAAACAATTATGCAGAAAAATTATTCAAAAGTGACTCAAGCAATCTGTAATTTCGACTGAACCCAAAATCTCATATTTGGGAGGGTTGTTTTCGAGAAAAGTCAAATACTTAAAAAAAAGGTCACAAAATCAACAATTTTACTCTTCCGAAGGACAAAGCTTTTGGAGTCAAAAAAATTGTGCGTAGTTGCATAGGCAAATGAACTTATCGATACCCGTTCTGAGCATTGAACCCAAAATCTCAGGTATGTCAGGGTAGTTTTCGAGAACATTCACAAAATTAAAAAAAAAACGTTCAAAAAATCAAAAACTTGACTTTTCAGAGGGCCAAAACTTCTTGCGTAAACTTATTGTTCGAGTCCGCTAACGAAGAGGGGCTTCCCACTACCCGTTATCTCATTGAGCCCCCAAAATGAGATTTAGAAGGCTAGTTTTGAGAAAAGTCGAAAAGATCCACAAAACGGTAAAAAAAAAGTATTTGACTATTCCGAGTGCCATAACTTTGTGCAACAAATTTGGTCTTTGCCAGTTATGCAGTGGAACTTTTCAAAACAGTTCTATCCATTGAAACTAAAAACTCATATTTGAAAAGGTAGTTTTCGAGAAAACAAAAAAAAATCAAAAATATGGGTCAAATATTTCCCCACACTTTTTCGAAGGCTGTAGTCAGAGAAGTGAAGTATAAAAAGACTCTAGGGGAAAATGCCGTCACACAGATGAATAAGCGGTCTTTCGATTGATACTAATTTTTTGATAATCAGAAGAAGTTTCAGAGAAAAATTAAAATTTTTGTAAACAGTGAAAAAAACTTTCCAAAACGAAAAAAGGAAATTTCAACAAACAGATTGAGAAGCGCGGAGGTGAGTGCTAAAACTGTACTGGTCTTGAAATGTCCCAAAATTGGGTCATTAGAACGATGAAAAAAAATAGGCCGAAATAAATTTGGCCGAGGAATTTTTTAGCGAAACAGAAAAAGTAAAGGCGTAAGTCAAACAATAATAACAACTTTAAGAAAAACGCATAGAAAAAAAACAATTCCAAGATGTGACAACTAAGCCGACCACAAATACGCAGACAAAAAAAATGGCCGTCAATTTTTTCAAAGAGAAAAATTTCCGTTTGGAAAAAAAAACACATGTCCTGGTTAGACTCGAACCAAGGACCTTTGCCGCCCAAGGCATATTCGTTACCTCCTCGCTAAGTTGGCCACGAACGCTAAAAAATTTGAATACATTATGAAACACGGTAGAGATGAGTCCAGACGTCCAGAGTGAGTCCTGTAGAATAAGTCGTTTACGGTAAAAAAAAAGAGCTAAGGTAATTTTTGGAAGTTCTAGTAAATTTCCCAGTAAAGTTGTAGGAAATCATCTGCTCAAACCATGCACAAAAAAGCTACTTAAATTGACATAAATTGAAACTCAAATAGTTTTCTTTGAAAAAACATAACCAACTGACAGCTGAAAAAAGTAATGAACGGAAGGAAACTGAAAAAAAAACTGAATTTTGAACTTCGCAGAAAAAAATAGATAGCTTAAGAGCTCTTCCAATTTATAGAACAATTCATGATGGACACTTTTTTGTTAAAATTAACTCAATTTGAGAAAACTGGATGAATTAGTAAGACTTAATGCGCTGGAAAATCTGATCATTAATTTCCATTTTCGAAATTAGAAGTCGATAACGTTATTTGTAACCTTTACACTTTTGCTGTTCAATAGAGGAGTTTGCCTTCCTTTTAACAAAGTAAATGCACTGAACTTAAAAACAAGCCACAAGTCAAACAACGAAAAATCAAATGTGAGCCTCAGCAAATTTTAAGATTTTAACCTGAAGAAAATCACAAAAAAATAACCAAAACCAATATAAGAGTATTTTTAACTCTTAAACATGCCAATGCAATAGAAAATGAAAATAGCGTGGGAAAAAATTGTCCGAGCGGTAACAAAGCCGAAAATACCTTAGCCCAAACCCTTAAGCCGGAAAATACTTATTAACTTATTAGGAGTTAATAAAACCCCTCACCCGCACACACACAAAAGCTTTAATAACTCGTCCAATGAAACAATAAGAGGCCACTAAGTCGATACAAAACAGTCCGGAGCCTATTAAGCCAATTTTTTTAATAAAAAGCCGAAAAAAATAAGGCTTATAAAAAATCATGTCCCCTCGTCCTCAAACACCCACACATAAACTTTTTTATAGTTCATCTTACGACACAATATGTGGCCATTAAGCTTATAATATACAGGCCGAAACCGAACAAGCCAAAAAAAGGAAAAAAAAAACAAAACTTGAAAATTAAATAAATCGAGTTAGTGGAACAACATAAAAAGCAACATATAAACTTTGAACGATATAGGAGATATAATTAAAACACTTAGGTGCACAAAACATATTTTTGATGTAAATTTGTTGTTTATAGAGTTTTCCAGAAAATGAGTCCAGATTACTCCTGTGAACGAAGTTTTTTACTGGAAAAAAGTCGAGTACCCTATAAAAATCGCAGTCGGGGGGGGGGGGGGGGGAGGGGGGGTTTGTATTGTTGAAGTATACATGAATTGAAGTTATTTGTGACATCACCACAGGGGGCTTTAATTTATTTCTTCCTTGCCTGGAGGCCATGATGAGAAAAAGCCGGGCTCTTTTTCCTTCCCCCCAACCCACCTGCACATTTATACAAGTAAAATTTCTGTTCCCACCATGACAAACATTACTGTAGGCCATGAGAAACAAATTTGATCTTCGGAATAAACCTTTTAAAAACCCACATTACATTATAAAATTAATGCTGATGTGAGGCAAGGGGGGGGGGATAGCCAAGAGCCGGTCGAATGGCAATCTTGATTGACTTGACTCCAATAGCATGTGCTAAAAGAAGTTCACAGAACCCTTAAAATCTCTGTTCACTGCTTAACATGTGCACGTGCCAATGTGCTGTTCATTCAGAGCTAACGATATCCAGTTATGAACAACCAGAACATACGAGGAGAAATTAATGGTATCCAACTGTCAGCGTACCTTGGCATCTCTACCATTCTCACAAAACTCATCGGATCTGACTACTTGTCGGCAATAAATCCTTGGATACGCGACGACGACGACGAACCCACGGCAGAAGCTGATTGGCCAATCGAAGATAATACAACACTTCTACCTTGGTACCTTGTCATCTTTGTCCAGCTATCAATTGGTAGTGTAATTGGAATAATCGTGAAGAAAGCCATTTTCCTTTTAGCTAAATTGCTGAAATCAAGAAAATCAAGAAGTCATCCAAATCAACAAGCAACAATGGCTTACTCAGATTCTGACTTGGATTACCGAGAACCCGATTTGGAGGACCTAGATGTGAACGAAACTGTCCATGAAGAAAACATGAAAAAAGCTATGAGCATGCTATCTCTGATCAGCACTCCTCAAGACACTTCCAGTGGGCACATGGTAGATACTTTCACAGATGAGCAGCAATTAAATCTTGACCTGCCCGCATCCATAGAACAAGATTCGGTGGAGCTCGAAAGTGGTGCCAATTTGACACCAGATTCCAGCCGCCAAGCTAAAGGTAGCGGAACCAGCGGCGCAAGTTCATTCATTGCCCTTGTGACTCCAAATAAAAAAAAAGTAGAATGCGCAACGATTGAGAGCCTCGATAAACCCTCTTCGCCTAAAGACGAAGTCAAAATGAGCGTTAGAGCAGCAGCTCGACTTTTTGAAAACAATATAACTCCTGTTTCGGTTTTGTCTTCGCGACTTCCGAGACCGAAGATTCCGACAACTCCTCGACAGCACCGAAGGAGTCTCGTTTCTCCCAATTTGGTTCAACGATGGGATACCTTTGAGTGTGCGACTCCTCGAAAGTGTGCAATCAACAATACTCCACACGCACCAATTAACGCCGCGTCAGGTGATCGAGAACTCATCACGTCGAAAAAAACCATGGAACAGAATGAAGTTGTGGAAGATTTACCAGGTGAAAAAACTAAAGAGCACAATGAGCAGGAGGACGCTGAATCAATGGAGGCAAAAGGAGATTGTTCAGATTCGAATTGGTCTGACGCCGAAAATGGAATCGTATCTGAGACTACAGAATGGGTAGTGTACAATGATTAGGTGGCATCTTAGGCAGAACACGCGTCAAAACTGAATAATATCAAAACTTATAAGGTTATTTAATAGTTCAGTGCATAAGTTGAATAGCTTTCCAAAACTTGAATCAATTTAGTCTCACCTTTCAATTTGTTTTATCTATCAATGATCTAATGACAAGAAAAAATTAAATGGATTGAAAAAAGGCTCTTTCCCTTTCCTTGCCCCCACCTTTCAAATGTTCTCTTTGAAAAGGTGTTTTACGAGTAATTGTTGCTAAGCCCACAAGGCTATGCTGTAAAAAATATGAAAATTAAATCTTCACAATACTTAGATTGACCACAAGGCCAAGTTTCAAAGCATTATGACAATTTTAAGTAATTTTTCAAATTGAAAAATCAAAAAAGAGAATGAGTGGAAAAAAAGCCAAAACTAATAGGATTATAAGTGCACAATGAAAAAAAGAATCGGTTACAGTGCAAGTAGCACAGAATGTTCCGACCATAGTATTGAAAAAACAAATTAAGGTCGTTTTTTTCCTGCGTGGTGTAAAAAAAGATCAGAACGATAAGAATAGATCTAACGCATATTTGATAGTCATAGAAAATAGGCCACGTGGAAATCAATTTTTTGAGAAAAAGAACCTAAAAAACAAAACAAAAAATATTTTTTAATTTTTAGATTCCAAAAATGGCGCTAAAAAACTCCGAAAATTACCTTGAATCCAGAAAAATTAAGGTTTCACGGCTTGAAAACAGCATAATAAGCTAGTGTAAGCCTGCATGCTCACTTAATAGCTCGAAATTAAACCAAAAATGTAAAATTTCAAACCGATTTTTCTCGACAGAGAAAAAAAATTTCAAAAATTTTTGATGTCGTTCCAATCACGATCAAAAGAGCTTAAATATCATATATCACTAGACCCGTTCCGATAATTTTTTGTGGTATTTGATTTTGCGAGAAAAGAAAGAAAAAAACTAAAGCACTCGAATATAAAGTTTCTGTCCATTTTTCAAATGGCCGGAACAAAAAAAGGATAGCCGCTTACTGTTCCGACCATAATCTTAAAAAACAAGATAAAATTCAAGCTAGTGAGGATTTCTGAGATATGTGATAATATGACCGAACGAAAAAATAGAACTTAGGAAAATTCGATATTCAGAGTAAAATAGGCAAATTCGAAATTGACTAAAAAAACTTAGAAAATGACTAAAATAAACAAAAAATTTCTTTTTTTTTTTAATTTTTGAAGTTTTTAATTCCGAAAATAGCTCTAACAAACTCCAAAAACTAGCTTTCCACGAGTAAAACTAAATTTTCAAGACTTAAATTTAAAAAAGGATAAATAGGCTATTGTAAGCCTGCACGCTCCCTTTATTCGGTCGAATTTTACAAAATTAATCCAAAATATCAAACCGCTTTAATTTCGGCATGTTCGACAGTCATAGTAATATAGGCAAAATGGTCTACAATTTTTGTAGAAAAATGACTAGAAAACAAAAAAAATATAAAATGGCACTTGAGTTCACGGGGAAAACAAAAAAATAAAAAACTAAAACGCACCCGAATACAAAGTTTCTTCACATTTTTCATTTGGTCGGAACAACAAGACTAGCAATTGCTGTGCAAGTACCACATGTTACGACCACATTAAAAAAAAACATTTCTTTTGGTAAAATCCTGTGTTGTTAAACGTGTAGAGAGAAAAACTTCGGGATTTTTTTTTTCAGGTAACCTTGTTAGAGACTTAAGCTGGGAAGGTGACATATGAAACGGCTCGTTTCCAATTACTCTCCTCCCTTTTCAAAAATTTGATTTTTTTTCCGAAAACTTGATTCGCGGAAGCTAACTTAAATTGAACCTGAAGATTTAAACTGTTTCAAAACGTTTGAACAAGAACAAGTGAACAATTTCTTTTTTTATTTTTGTACCTGTAACTTGCCGTATGAACAGTTTTTGAACAGTTTTTTTTGTTATAATTCTACAAGGGGGACTGAAAACCACTTTTTCCGAAAAAATCATCGCGAACTTTTAAAGAGTCTGAACTACGTTCAGTGACTCTTAACCAATAATTATACAATTTATAGGCACCATCGCTACCAGAGTGCCACAATGTCATACGAATCGGCGACTAAAAAGCAAAAGCTTAAAACGGTTTTCTCGGTACTGAAAAAAAACTTTGGAACATTGTAAATGTCATTCGAATATAGTCGAAACAAAAACGCTTGTTAATCGCACATTTAATCAAACTGAACAAGGAAAATCAAAAGACAATAAAATCCGTTCGCTATATTGTAACTGAAGCGTCATTAGAATTGAATTCTCTTCTTTTGAGAAAAACTAAGTTTCAAACCAAAAACAATTTTTCACAAATGAAAAACCTGAGATATGTTTTACAAAACGTTCTATCTAAATTAAATAAATTCATTTCTTTACAATTCCCGAGATCATTTCAAATAAGCCTTGATATTTTAACTGAAAGCATTGTCATGATCACACAAAATTGATGAGATGGAAGCCCGTAAGCTACGAGTACATCTGTTCTCCATCGACGCACTTCTGCAGCATTACTGTTAACATGTCATTGCAGAGTGCTGCATACGGGTTCAACTGGACAACGAGTTTCTTCGCGATTGGATTTCCGAGAGCTGCAGCTTCTTCCAAATCTTTCAGGAATAGATCATCATGGCCTTCAAATCGATGCAGACATCCTCGCTGTGTTAGAGCCAGAGCAGCAACAGCTCCTGCAAAAATCAATTATTATTCAATATGATTTGTAAGAGTTACAAGCTAAACAAGATCAGAATATCATTTAGGCTCATAGGTTAAAGATTCAAAGCGTAGTTTGGTGACAACTCAGTATATACTATTTGTCATGATAAATTTAGGCACCTGGAAACAATTCTGCAAGAAGAACGACTCCTTTCCAAGCAAATTAAAAGAAGTGAAATAGACTATAAAGCAGTGAATTTACGGTTTGGTGCAAACTATATTTCCTATATGGACTGATAAATTAACTTACCCTTGCCCTTTGATATCCCAATAGCACAGTTCAGGTCTTCTAGCGCCCCTTCCCTATCTTGCAGCAGCTGTTTGATCTGAGCTCTGTTGTTGTAAGCTGAGGCGTAGTCCTTGTGGTCGCAGATTATGTCGTTTAGAGTCTTCAAGGCATCATTCAATTGACCTTCTTCAGCTGTATAACAGAAATTTTATTTGATTCCAAAAACGATTTCCTTTATCCTCATAAAATAATACGCTAAATAATAAAACGCTAAAAGGTGCTCATTACAAGCATCAAATTCAAAGACAACTATTTAACTTCCAAAAAAAAAACATTTTTTGACGTCTCCGAGAACTTTTTTTCTCAACTCTCAGAGAGAAACCTTGCGATGAAATATTTCCATAATCTCACCTTGTTTGATGGCTTCTCGTTCTCTATTCAAAAGTTCAAACAACCTCTCATCGCCCTCGTTGAAAGGCTTGCAAAACGAGCATGATTTATAGTTTTTAACTTCCGAATCCAGGCGTATAGAAGAACCAAACGGCTCGTTGGGATTGGTGATGGCATGTACAATAGCTTCGTCACTGTACAACATGTTGAAAGATAACTCAATGAAGCAAAACACAAATTCAACTGAAACCAAATATGTACTTGAATGGCCAGCAGTATCCCGAGAACGCAATAACACGCATATTAAGCTCTAAGGAGTTACCAGTTAAGGTCTTAACTGAAGAACAGCGATTAGAGGAGATACAAAGTAGATCTATCAGGCGTTACTCATTCTCAAGCATAATTTCGTATGCAGATCAAAACTTCGAAAATGAGGCTTGAAATAACCAATCAAAGAGAAGCAAAACTTACAAAGCATGAAATCGGATGAAAAACATCTGTTTCAATCGCAGTAAAGCCCAGACGTTCCGAATGTCCATATTTGAAAAAGACTCTCTTTCGCCAAACTTTAATGTTTACACCTAGTTGTGATTTCTAATGATCTGATTATAAACACAGAGGCGAAGCGGAGCGATACAATATAAAAAATATCAGTGCAAGCTAGCAGTCACGAACGAAAGCCACTAAGTACAAAAAAAAATAGAAAACAAAAATAAACTTCAAACTTGAAAAATCAAAAACTATTTGGAATCATGTTCAATTTGCGGAAAATGCGTCCAGAAACACAATCAACTGCAATTAATGAAAATTCAAAAAAATAACAAGCGGTAACTGAGCCAACGAAACTTTAAAAAATTTCCAGGGAACCGAATATACATTTGTTGTCATGAAAAACTTTGAATTATAAGACCTATTCTAAAATTTTTAGCATTTTGTGCGATCCGGAACGAAGCATAAAACTTAAGGTTCCTTTGAAAATACCCCAAATTAGGTCACTAAGCGAAAAAATAATAAGCCAAAATCATTAGAGACGAATAAGGTTTTAAGCGAAAAAAAAAATCAAAATCAGTCAAGGATTGTAAAATTTAAAATTGCAGGAGTAATTCAAAACACTGAACGCAACTATATGGAAAAATACGTATATCAAAAATCAGTTCTACGATAATGCAAATGAGTCGACAAAGTATAAGCAGACAAACTATAGGCCATTTTTTTGGAATGGAATTATTCCAGTATGAAAAAAAACATTCCTGGTCAGATTCGAGCAAACAACCTCTGGCGCCCTAGCGTATTCTCCACCTCCAAGCTAAGTACAGGACACGCATAGAAGTTTGAATTTATTATGAACCAAGATACAAGTGATTCAATTGAGTCTGTTAAACCAGTTAACCCGAAAAAAAATCAGGATTCCGCTTTGATAACGCTTGCTAATCGCAAGCGTAAACAGGGCAAAAACTAAATCAACAGTAATTGCGCATAGTGCAATGCCAGAAAAAAAAGTCAAAATTTGATAAGGACTGAAAAGGTTCACTAACCAAGTGATTCAACACGTAACCAAGTAGCATGCGAGCACAATCAAAATTATAGAGCCATAAAGTACTGATATTCTAGAAATCCCCCCTCTGCTGAAACACAAAATATAAAAAAAAATTGTGTTTTCCTTTCAAACGACGCAAAATTAGATCCTTAAACCGATCCAACATAAACTGAAACCATATTGGCCGAATAAAGCTTCTGAGCAAAAAATCAATAGGAGACAAACAAACAAAGTCAGGGGATAGTAACTTGCATGAATAAATCAAAAACGCTCCAAAATACAATGAAATTGCTTCTGCACAAGTAAGTTTCGTGATGTGCCAATCAAAGCGACAAAACATAGATGGCAAAAGTTAGTCAAAAGGCCGACAACTTCTTTGGAACAAGAAAATGTCGATTAAAAAAGGCCTGACCGGGTTCGAACATAGGTCCTTTGTCGTCATGAACTTGGACTTTGGATTTTATATCGATCAAGCTATCAAAAGATTCAAGCAATTTCAATATAAAAGTTCTTTACCTGAAATCTGAAGTCTATAATCTGATTTGATAGCCCTTGATAGTCATATGTGTAAATATAAGTTTTACAGAGAGGCAAAGTGCACTTCGAGGGAAAATGAATAAAAAAACAACAAATTTTAAAAAATAAATGACCTTTTTAGAATTGAACTTCAGTCCTCGGACATATTCAAGTTTCCGTGATGTCTTCTCTAAACAAATTCTTCTACTGACTCATAGAACTCTAAGACAATCGAGGCAGCGGCAAAAGAGCTTCAAAATGCACAAAAAGGCAAATACACAATTTCATCAAATAATTTGGAATAAAATACCACACTACCAAACTCAAGACAACCACACTAAATTACTGAATTGAAAAGTTTTTTTATCGTACTGAATGAAACAAACAGTTAACTTATGTTCATTCGATGAATTAAAAATGCATCAACTGCGTTAATTAACTAGTAGTCTTGTAGTATTATACTACCCTTCAGGTACCTGATGAGAAGAAAAGTCCAGAAACACAGATGAGTCCTGTAAACAAAATTATTTACAGGAAGAAAAGTCTACTACCTGATTCCAAAACCCTTGCTTATCGGGAAGGTAATTACTACAAGAAAAATTTCAGCAAAATTTTGCTGTTTTTCATTAGAAAAAAAGGGTTTTCAAACTCACACACACTCTAACAACTATGCAGAAATTGACATTTCCGAAATAGCTCAAAAACAACGTCTCTAAATTAGCAAATAAAAACACTGGAACAAAAAAGAAAAAAAAACAACCATTAAGTACAAAAAAATATGTATTTTGAAAAAATTGAGAAAATTACGATAATATCCAAAATGTAATTATTTATAATGTGCGAATTATACACAACCAATTTTCTTGTGAAAGGAAGTTGAATTTATTTAATGAATTTGTAATTAAAATAACAGTGAACATTAAAGTCGATAAATTTAGCAAAAAATCTTATCAAAAAAATCGAAAAAAAAAGAGTTTATATTTGACACAGACGCGAAGCTAAGCTTCGCACCACTTGCGATACGACACAAACGTAAAAAAAAACATAAGTTTATGCACATAATGAAAAAAAAATTGGCGAACCAAAATTTTCGTAAAGCTTGAGGTACCTCTTTGATATTGAATGAATTTGCTATACTGGTGCGGGTCGAAAAAAGTGATTTCAAAAAGTGGACTTGCCCAAAACCTTAGTTATTTATCAACTAAAATAAATGAGACGAGCAAAAAATTTCGAGACAATCAACTTTTTCAGCGACATATCATTTCTTTTACAAAAAACTAAGGATTCGCCGCTTTTGCAGGAAACATTATCGCAACAGGTTTTCAATTAAAATTTTTTTAAATCTCAGATTTGTTTTTGTAAGTTTTAAGAAAATTCAAAAAGTTCGAAGATTGCCGCAGAAAAGTAAAATGTTATACTCTGCATATAAGTCATATGGCTTGTAATAAATTCATGACGTCACCTGGTGAACATGCGAAAAAAAAACGATTTTTTGGGAAAAAGCCTAGTACCCGGTTGCAATACACTTGCTATCGCAAAAGCAATTATGTCCTCGAAAAAAGTGAGCCCAGGAAAAAAAGCTATTTCGTTTAATTCGATTTTGAATTGAAAGCATGATTTATATTGTTCTGACCATCAAACTTCAGGACGAACTTTAATTTTATTTTTTGCTTTCACAAAAAATCTGACACTTAAAGTAAACAAAAAACATAACACTGAATCTCATGAAAATTTAGGGGGAAACAACTTGAATTTTCTGAGCGATACGATCGCTAAGAGCCTCTGTTCATCTTCTCGTGAGTAAAACTGATTTTTTCTTATAACGACCCAAAATTAAACAAAAAAGGACCAAAAAAACTTTGCAGCGATTACAGTGTAGAAAAATAAGAGATTACGAAGTCAAGGGAAGTAAAATTACGAATTACTCATAATTAAATCAATCACTAAAAACAACATTAAAGAAAAAAGCGCGTAGCAAAAAAAAACGCTTTTGATTACAAGATTGGTCAACTAAGCCGAAAAAAGAGAAAGATAAGCAAACAAAAATTTGGCCGACAGATTGTCGAGGTTTCAAAAACAAGTCCTGGTCAGATTTGAACGCAGGACCTTTGCCAACCCAGGTTTATTCGTTACCTCCAGGCTAAGTGGGCCGAGAACGCTAAAAAATTGAATTAATTATGAAAAAAGGTACCCGAAGAGAAGAAAATTCCAGAAACACAGATGAGTCCTGTAAACAAAATTATTTACAGGAAGAAAAGTCTACTACCTGATTCCAAAACCCTTGCTTATCGGAAATATATATATTTTTTCAATTTTCTCCATGCGCCATATATTTTCTCCATATATCATTTAGAGAAAATCCGAGTTCCGAGATATTAAGAAATGGGATTTGAATAGTTACTTTCTTGTGGCTCAGAAAAAAATTACCATGAGATCTTTTCAAACCATTATCGATATATCAAAAAAAGCAACGAAAATTTTTGGAACTCAATTACTTGTAGCATTACGGCAACAAAAATTTTAAAATATTTTTGGATGAAGTAAAAATTGCTACAATCATAATAAAACCCATACAGTGGCAACGTTAGCCCTCACAAATAAGCAGACCTACAATAGCCCGACGCGTAATTATTTTGCAGCAAAAAAATCAGATTCTAAAAAATCCGGATTCGAACCATTGGCTTTTGTCTGATAAAGTATGAGGTTACCGATGCTCCAAACTGGTAAAACTAGTAGCTGAAACCTGATATGCTAATCAAGCAAAATGAGGATTCCAGAAAAGTCCTGAGAACATTTATTTAGGAAAAAGTTTCCGGTTGCAGTTACCTTGCTAATCGCAGGGGCAATAACATCCGCGCTGCCTGCTTGCATATCTATGAAGAGTATGCCCAGTTAAAAAAACTGTCCAAGTTATGAATTAGAGTTCAAAAATTGAAACTAAATTTAATTTATCTACTATTAGCCGTGAAAACTTAGTGGTGTAGAGTTTCTAATCGGTTTTCATGATTGATAATGGTTAATTTATACATAAAATTCCATCATTTTATTTCACACTTTCTGCATGTCTCTTCTGGGCGCTGAAACATCTGATTGAAAATCATTTCATTTGGAGTACTTGACAGTGCGATGGTGTCTCATGTCTGAGTCTGAGTGATCTTCTTTGAAGCAGCGCGAACAATAAAGAGCCCCTTCGCACTCTTCGTCCACGCACCTCAACTGAGCATTACCATTGCATATCACACACCACGGCAACTCACTATCTTCATTGTCACTACTCGGACCCCTTAATGTTGACTGGGGCTGAAAACATGATATTTCAAACAATATTGTGGCATGAGTAAAAAATACCATTTGAAAAAGATGGTAACGCTCTTGTCACAATTAATACATAGCCAACAATAAGTTGGAAAAGAGTCAATGAACGCAAGAAAACAGAACAAATTATTTACTTACTTAATTTTACTTAATTTCATACAAAGGCAGTGAATGAACTTATAGCTCAAAAAATTATGATTGACACTTTTTTATTGTAATAATCCAAATTTAGAAAGCGTTTCGTGACTTTTACGATCAAGCGTTTCGTGTCCTTTACGATCAAGCGTTTCTTGACCTTAACACGTTTGCTGTTCGAGTTTGGTGTTTGCCTTCTTTTATTAAAAGAAATGAACTGAACTTGAAAATAGTCAAACCCCGGAAACTCAAATTTAAGCGTGATTCAACTCCAATACTTTTACCAAGAAATAAACAAAAAAACACCCAGACATAAAAGTCTTCACTACAATCATGACTCTTGAAATAACATCAAGCTCAGTTTTGATCACAAGCTTCAAACTTGATTGACCAAAAACTCACAGGTCTGGAAGAAGAATCGGAAGGAATGTCCGGAAGTCTGCAGCCGAGATGTTGTTCGAGTCTATCCTCCTCCAAAATCTAGACAACAAAAGGTGAAAATAGTAAAGTAACTCTAACACAGAAGCGAAGCTGCGCTCTGTGTTAGAGTTACTCTGTGTTAGTAAAGTATCTCTAAACAGGCAAAACAAAGTGAAATAAGGAAAAAATTAAAAATGCACCTAGCAAAAAATTTAGGAGTACAACGATCTCACATCTGCTCTACGACCGCTTGTAAATTTACCAACACTTGTCACCAAGAAAGCAGCTAGTTTCCATCAATAGCCAATGTTATACTGCTAAATTTGACCAAAAAAACTATTTAAATGTTCCGGACTTGAATATCTGCCCTGTTGATTAGAAGTCACACGTCTTCGCATCAGCGCCACGGTCGCTTTGAAGTAAGCCAGTGGCCAAGCTTAAGCTGGATCTATATCTTCTAATATTTTTTAAACATACTGTATTTTCAAAAAATTTCTAAAAATGGGCTTTACGCTAAACCCTAGTAATTCTCTGCTTAAGTATGGGATTAACCGCTTGATTAATGAAGCAAACTACTTCTCTCTCTTCCAATTGAACTCTTTATCTCAGATTTAACAAGGTAGTTTTCGAAAAAAAAAAGTGAAAAAGATTCCAAAAATCGATCAAAAATCAACTTTTCCAATATCCATAAGTTTTCTCTAGTAAACCATGGAAATAACCTCTGTTTTCCAGATCCCGATTTTGAGATTGGAAAATTCCGCACCCTGAATTTTTAGATTGAACCCTTTTTTATCAGATTTAGCTAGTAGTTTTCGAGAAAAGTGACCAAATTTCTAAATAAAAAACGGTAAAAAAAGGATTTTTTTTCTGAAATCCACATCAGCTTTTCTAAATAAACAAGGTAGAAAAGATTACGCAAAAAAAACTAATCATCTTGTTTGTTTTATTGAACTGTCAACCTCAGAATCATCAGGTTATATTTTGAAAAAATAAATTTCCAAAAAGCAGGCAAAATTTCTAAAATGGACAGCTTGAGGCCATATTTTTTTCAAAGCGCAGGGCATAGCCACTTGCGAAAGCAAAATTTTCTTGAATCAGTTTTTTCTTACGGTTAGACTCTTAATTTGACAGGGTATTTTTGAAAAAGTCAAAAAAAATTTCAAAATAAACCGAAATGGACTGAAAGAAAATATCTTTTTTTTTCTACCGACTGTAGGGAAAAACCGCTGAGAAATTGGTTCTTGTGATTGAAACCGTCAACTCAAATTTCTGCATTTAATATTTGAGAAAGAGCAAATTTCAAAACAAACGGGCCAAAAATAGCCCTACTGAAACTTTCGAATGACGTAGAACGCGAGGTAAAATGAAAAGAGACCAGCGAAATAAGCAAGCACACAGAGCAGCTGGATTGCCCATTGGTACCTGCTCTTTGAAAATCGGTTCAATAATTTTTGAAGAAACATTAAACTTTCTGCGAAAAGTGCAAAAGCTTTGCAAAGAGTCGCAAAAAAAACAACAAAAAACATCAAATCCCATACATTTTCATCATACGTTTTTAATTTCAAACATCACCAAACTTTAGCCAAAAATAAAGCAGCAACGTACGCTTTTGATATTCTTTTAAATTGCCTATGCTTAAATAGGTTTATATATGATTAAATTGATCTATACCAAAAATGCCACCAAATCCGCACTTTTATTTGCGACTTGGGTATCTTCGTAATAATACACTACGCTTCGCTGGTTTAAAAACACATCTACATAGGGAAATTGAAGTTGACAAAAACGTATCTGGCAGTGATTCAAAACGAAGGAGTGATTCAATAAGAAAGAAAACATGCATAAAAAATAAATGACTTCAGTTGACCTTGGCAATTAGTTTTTTTGTTGCCGTTTCTTCATCATCTTCCTCATCTTCAGATTGCTGTTCATCTTTTTTCCTGCTTGCTTCTCTGACCTGTTTTATCAAATCGTCCGGAGTTTCTGCTGCTGTTGTCGCCATTGCTTGTGGATGAGGTATCTCGAATGAAGCGGACTTGCCTTTGTCAACTTTCAGCTCACCCTGGATCTGGTTGATAAGGTCGTCTGAGTTCTGCACGGGATCTGGTTGGAACAGGTGCTCACCGATACATGCGGATGGAGGATTTGAAATTCTAAAAATGCAACGATATCTTTCTTCGTTTTCCAGTTTACTTATTTAAAAATATGTATGTTTCTTTCAACGTCCACAAATACATGAAAAATTATTTAGAAATTATCGTAAGAACCGAAAGGGAAAGATTTCAAGATCAGTTTCCTTTTTGGTACGTTCATCGTCCTGGCAATATTTTCGAAATTTGTTTGTTTTGTATTCACTTCTTTTGGTTTTGGGACAAACAGGATGTAGTGCGCATTTTCATCATTCGTTTTCCAAAAGATATAACACGATTTTGATCTCAATTATTCTTCCGACTACTCAAAAAAGAAAAACACAAAAAGAGAAGCACAAAAAAATTGTGCTCGTGGTCGTTTTTTTCTCCAGACAAATTTCAATTTAATAACTAACAATTTACGACGGATTTATTAAACATCATTCGATGAGCTCAAATTTAAAAAGATATTTAACCTGTGTTTGTGAAGGTATGGCGGTTTAAAGATTGCCAATTAGGGCTAGCTCTATCTATTACATTTCGCGCTAGCTATTAATGCGTCAGCGAGATTTAATCCGTTCCAAATTGCATTCAGGTGAGCAGTTTTGCTATTTAATACTTTGCTATGAACAAGTTTTTTTGAAATTTTAATTAATCTGAAAGATTTTCTAAAGTAAACACTACTCCATAGACCTTAAAGACAGTCAGAACACTCATGGCTTTGCCCTGATACGAGCAGTCACGTTTTTTTTTTAGATCTGAATTCTTTCATTAGCCCACGCACATGCTACATGTTAATGTGGTCAGTACAAGCGTTGTAGAAAGTCTCCAATTCATTTGAGCTGAAATATGTACAGTAGTCGCGTAATCAATAGAATTTTACTAAGACTGTCGAATATTTCTAAAATTCACATTCTTTCATTACACCGCGCACCAAAAAAAAAACGACATGAAGAACGAAAGAAAAAATTTATTTCTCCCAAATCATGTTTTTACACAATATCGTCAAACATCATAACAAACCAAAAGACCAAGGAGAGCATAGACGAAGGGCAATGTAAATACCCACAGAAAGTCTAACCTTGAAAGTAAAGTTTAAAAAAAACTTCTTGATTTAAAAAAAATCTTAGTAAATTATTTTTTGAGAACTATTATTTTTTTACTTTAATTATTTAGGTTAACAAATTTCTGTTATTTTACAGTATATCAAGACTAGCTTAACGGCTACACTATGTAATCGTCTCGCCTTGAATTCAGTCTTATGTTATTGATATTATAAAAAACGAAAGAAGAAAAAACTATTTAGTTAATTTTTTTTCGAAAAATTCTTATTATCAATCAATTTGAAATCCGAGTTAAAATGATATCGTAACTTACAATCTCGGCATTTTCAAACCAAGACGAGAGCTCAAAACGTCTTGTAAAGTGTCACTATAAAAAAAATGAAATTATTGAAAACTCACTCAAATTTCACAGAGTGCATTTTCTCGAAAACTGAGAAGAATTAGACAGCCATATTTTCAAGATAGATTCGCAACTTCAAATCAGCTTCTGATAACATTAAATCAAAAGTGTCGATTTTTCTCTTTTTATGGGAAAAATTTATGAAATATTCTTTGCACAAGATCAAAATTGCCAAGTATGTAATTATCCTTAAACTTATGAACTCACAAAACTCTTTCTTTATTGGACATAAACCCAATTTTTTGAGGAAGTAGATTATTGACAACTACTTATTTGAATAACTTGGAACCTCTATATGCCAATGAGCATGAGTTTCTCTTATTGTTACAAAATGGCAGATCAAATGTATGAGAACTCGATTTTCTTGTAGAAAAAACGTAAGTTTTTGATGAAAAAACCGAATTCAAAAAAAGGATGTCGGCTGTCGTTGATTCAAACAACAATAAAAAAAATGTTAGTAAATCATACACGTAGATCTCATGAGCACTAAGAATTTTTTTGTCAATAACTGTCTAAGAGATGCTTTCAAATTTTCTTTCGTTTTTCGTTGCATCATTAAAAGTTGATTCAATATTGCATAGCTTGTACCACCATAAACCATCGAGCCAAAACAAAACGTTAGTAAAATAAACAGGTATAGCTCATGAGCACTAAGAAGTTTATTGTCAATAACTGTTTGAGTGATGTTTTCAAAATTTCTTTTGAACTAAATTATTCTAGGAATTTTTCGTTGCATCATCAAAAGTTGTTTCAATATTGTATAGCTTGTACCAACGTATACTAACAATCCATGTTGCATTGTTGGCTTGACGTTAGAAATCAAGTATTTCAACAGCACTGATTTAGGAACAAAATGTCTCATTCTTGGCAGATCAAATGTACGAGAACTCGATTTTCTTGTAGAAAAAACGTAAGTTTTTGATGAAAAAACCGAATTCAAAAAAAGGATGTCGGCTGTCGTTGATTCAAACAACAATAAAAAAAAATGTTAGTAAATCATACACGTAGATCTCATGAGCACTAAGAATTTTTTTGTCAATAACTGTCTAAGAGATGCTTTCAAATTTTCTTTCGTTTTTCGTTGCATCATTAAAAGTTGATTCAATATTGCATAGCTTGTACCACCATAAACCATCGAGCCAAAACAAAACTTTAGTAAAACAAACAGGTATAGCTCATGAGCACTAAGAAGTTTACTGTCAACAACTGTTTGAGTGATGTTTTCAAAATTTCTTTTGAACTAAATTATTCTGAGATTTTTTCGTTGCATCATTAAAAATTGGTTCAATATTGTATAGCTTGTACCAACGTAAACTAACAATCCATGTTGCATTATTGGCTTGACATTAGAATTCAAGTATTTCAACAGCACTGATTTAGGAACAAAATGTCTCATTCTTGAAATGACTCCGCAATAACTGCCCATTTATGTTTTTACTTTTTGTATATGGTTGTGAAATGATAAGTTTGTATCAACTAAAACACCAAGATATTTGCAAACTACGCCAGGAATATAAACAAGGTTATTTAGTACTATATTGAGGTCAAAAGCATTACTTTTTATCAAAAACTAATTGAAGTACTTTTCATTAGAGTTTAACTTTAGTTTGTTGCAATTCAACCATGGAAAACTGTTGGAGCAGTCAAGCTTAAACTCTTTTAGGTTTGTACAGTTAGAGGCAACATTAGTATCATCAGCAAATAGAACGACAACATCGCTATTGCCTGCAAAATGCATATCATTGATATACATTAAAAACAGAAGGGGACCTAGGACCGCGCCCTGTGGAACAGCTGTGATGATAGGTAACCAATCAGATGGAGCACCATTGACGCACACACATTATGATTTTTCAGATAAGTAACTCTGAGACCAAATATTACATTTGCATCGAATCCCATAGTTTTCTAATTTAGATAAGATTTTGTGATCAGGCATTTTTCAAATCCTTTTTCAAATCAATGGCCTTTTTCAAATCAATGAAAAAACTGCACATTTTAAATTTTATCATGACCGAGCCTTAAGCGCTCAATCGATTCAGCTAAAGCATCTACTGAAGCATATTTTTGACGAACCCCAAATTTTTTTGACGAACCCCAAAAATTGTTCATAGAGCAAGCAAACTTTTCGAGGTAATTTTATAATCTAAAATACATTACCTTTTCAATAATTTTACTGCAGCTATTGAGCAAAGATATTGATTGGTAGTTGTTTAAATCGATTCTGAACTCAGATTTATAAGGAGGTACTACTTTTGAGCACTTAATTGAATTAGGAAACAATCTTATTTTGAAGGATAGACTAGCTATATACGTTAGGCAGGAAGCAACAATGAAACAAATCTTCAGTAATATGATCTTGCTTAATTCATCAATGCCGCAAGTTTGTTTCGGGTTCAAATTTTTGAAAGATACTGATTAATTCATGCAACGAACTTTCAGCAAAATACATTGACTGACTTGCACTTTCCAAAAAAAAATTAATATCAACAAATTCAATATCATCTGACAGCTTTGACCCAATTGTGGTAAAAAAAAATGATTGAAGGAATTAGCTATTAATAGCAGAAACTTTCGCGTTTTTTTCCGATATTTCACTTATAATTTTAAAAACTTGTCTCGAGTCTCCTATGCAATAATTGAGTTTATTGTAATAGAAATCTTTTTTGGTCTTTCTTAACAATATTTCGAAATTTTTTCGTTCGTGAATAAACCTATTCATTATAACGGTGTTATCTTTCCCACATTTCCATTCTTTATAATTTTATTTCTTTTAGCAATAGCATTTCTTAAACTTCTTTTGAACTATAGTGCATTTGCTTTTCTCTTCTTTATGGGCTTTATTTAAAAAATGAGCAAAACGTTGTAGTGTAGACAAGACATCTCTTAAAATCATCGTGAGCGATATCATTGTTGTCCAAGTTCACAATATGCGATTTTTCTAAATTGTTTTTAAGCTTTCTGAAAATTCGCGCTGCTATCTCTTTGTTTTAACCAAAACGACTTATCGCGATAGGAAAGGCTTGATAAGTCTCGCAAGCAATTTGTTTCAAATTTCAATAATATTGGACAATTCATTCTCAAGTATGTTCATTGTAGAAAAATCAATATTCCTTACTACAAAAAGGACAATGCACGTTTTTGCGCTGTTGCTGATTCTAGTGGCAGATTTGTTTAAGAGATCAAAACCATTGGCACTGATAGCATTTGAGTACGACGTACTCAGTTTTTTTTTAAGTGTATTGATGTTGAAATCCCCTGTTCCATTAATTGGTATACCTTCCCTAGGTGGTACATATGAGACTACAATGATAGGTCTTTTTCCTGCGAAATCGACAATAACAGCTATTGATTCAGGTAAACTAACCTCCAATTTGTCGACTAGAAAAATTTGATCATTCAATTGTATCATTGCTACTCCTCCTCTTGTATGTATATTATTGAATTTTATTTAGTTGAAACATGTTATTTTGTCGTTTCTATATTATCATTATCACTTAACTAGCTTTCTGTAAGACATAAAATATGTACTGGAGACTATTAAGAAGTGCTTTTATATCCTCATGGTGATTTTTTATAGAACGAACATTTGACAACAAAAATTAAATAGAAATAGCATTAGCACTCTTGAGCGACGAATAATAGTGAAATTTATGTTCCTTCATGACTTGATGATTGGTCAAAAACACTATTGAAATACGCCGCCACTTCAACAATTCGATAATTCAAAAACTTTCCTTCCTCGTAGAGACTTTGAATTCGATAAAGTCTTCCATCTTCGTTCCACGCAAAATGAAAGAATTCTTCTCTCATCCAGCAAGAGCTGATTCTGTTATCGTTTTTCATCATAGGAAGAAAATTTGCTCGAGTTCTTGATGTCTTCAAAAAATTTACAATCAGAAATTGGTCACTACGCATCAGATTTTTCTTTTTCTTAAAAGGTTAATTTATGCAATCCGCCGGGTGAACTTGAATATAATTGGTTTGACTCTGCCAGACTTTGTAGGAAGTCGCTGAGGTATAGATATATCTCTTTCATCTATACCAGCATCTATATTGCCTGTAATACTCAGAGCTTTGCTCAGAAATGTTTCCATTGGTTCTCTTTTTCCTTGTTCTAGTGTTTCGGCACCTCTAAAAAATTAACATTATCACGCCTGTTGTACATTTCTAATTGCTTTGCTTCACATTGGGCTTTTAGGTTGTTTCGCGTCTCCATTTGGTTCATGCCAAAGACAAAGATATCAAAACATCTTCTTTGATGCCAAGCCAATCACTGCCTGTTCGATTGTAGTTTGTTTTGAGCACGGTTGCGATTTCTTTCTTCATTTGATCAATGAAGGATGGCACTAGCTCTTTCATCGACATAGAAATAATATTTTTTTATCTTTTTGGTCAAACTGTCTTTATTTGCATATTCATCATCCTCCGTACATGGACTGCGACATATTTTCGATCTTTAATTGTCAGGTTTTGGGTTAGGGGTTTGATCATGAAACACTAGGGTTGGCACATCATGGGTTGCTGCATTGCATTTATCATTAGTCAAACTCATTAGCAGTCTAGATTTAATAAGTTTATCACAACAATTAGGCTAATGAAATTGAAACCAGGCAAACTTTTATGCAGCTTTTTCAAATTGTTTGTAACGTAAAAAATTCTGCCCAGCCACACAGTTAGAAAAGAGTCAATGAATCCAAGAAGAGAAAAAAACTGACTTTTTGAAAAATCTGAACTATCGAATTTTAGATAGATAAAAATATATATATATATATATATATATATATATATATATATATATATATACACTTAAGGCTCTCTGAACTTCCGAAACAATTTATGAGATCTTCCAAAGATATTTCCAGAACACTTTTTTGATTAAAGTCACAATTTGAGAAAACTGAATCAAAACGTGAAACTTGCATTCAATGAAATTATTGAAAACTCACTCAAATTTCACAGAGTGCATTTGCTCGAAAACAAAGAAGAATTAGACAGCCATATTTTCAGGATAGATTCGCAACTTCAAACCAGCTTCTGATATTATTTAATCAAAAGTGTCGATTTTTCTCTTTTTATGGGAAAAATTTACGAACTATTCTATGCACAAGATCATTATTGCCAAGTATGTAATTATCCTTAAACTTATGAACTCACTAAACTCTTTCTTTATTGGACATAAACCCAACTTTTTGAGGAAGTAGATTATTGAAAATTACTAGTTTTAATAACTTGGAACCTCTATATGCCAATGAGCATGACTATCTCTTATTGTTACAGAATGGCACATCAAATGTACGAGAACTCAATTTTCTTGTAGAATAAACGTAAGTTTTTGATGAAAAAAACTGAATTCAAAAAAAAAGATGTCGGCTGTCGTTGATTCAGACAACAATAAAAAAAATTTAGTAAATCATACACGTAGATCTCATGAAGAGTAAGAATTTTTTTGTCAATAACTGTCTTAGTGATGCTTTCGAATTTTCTTTCGTTTTTCGTTGCATCATTAACAGTTGGTTCAATATTGCATAGCTTGTACCACCATAAATCATCGAGCCAAAACAAAACTTTAGTAAAACAAACAGGTATAGCTCATGGGCACTAAGAATTTTATTGTCAATAACTGTTTGAGTGATGTTTTCAAAATTTCTTTTGAACTAAATTATTCTAGGAATTTTTCGTTGCATCATTAAAAGTTGGTTCAATAGTGTATAGCTTGTACCAACGCATACTAACAATCCAAATTGCATGGTTGGCACATCATGGGTTGCTGCATTGCATTTATCATTAGTCGAACTCATTAGCAGTCTAGATTTAATAAGTTTATCACAATTAGGCTAATGAAATTGAAACAAGGCAAACTTTTATGTAGCTTTTTCAAATTGTTTGTAACGTAACAAATTCTGCCCAGCCACACAGTTAGAAAAGAGTCAATGAATCCAAATAGAGAAAAAAACTTAATTTTTGAAAAATCTGAACTATCGAATTTCAGTTTGAGAAAACTGAATCAAAACGTGAAACTTGCATTCAATGAAATTATTGAAAACTCACTCAAATTTCAAAGAGTGCATTTGCTCGAAAACTAAGAAGAATTAGACAGCCACATTTTCAGGGTAGATTAGCAACTTCAAATCAGCTTCTGATACTATTTAATCAAAAGTGTCGATTTTTCTCTTTTTATGGGAAAAATTTACGAACTATTCTATGCACAAGATGATTATTGCCAATTATGTAATTATCCTTAAACTTATGAACTCACTAAACTCTTTCTTTATTGGACATAAACCCAACTTTTTGAGGAAGTAGATTATTGAAAATTACTAGTTTTAATAACTTGGAACCTCTATATGCCAATGAGCATGACTATCTCTTATTGTAACAGAATGGCAGATCAAATGTACGAGAACTCAATTTTCTTGTAGAATAAACGTAAGTTTTTGATGAAAAAAACTGAATTCAAAAAAAAAGATGTCGGTTGTCGTTGATTCAGACAACAATAAAAAAATTTTAGTAAACCATACACGTAGATCTCATGAGCAGTAAGAATTTTTTTGTCAATAACTGTCTTAGTGATGCTTTCAAATTTTCTTTCGTTTTTCGTTGCATCATTAAAAGTTGGTTCAATATTGCATAGCTTGTACCACCATAAATCATCGAGCTAAAACAAAACTTTAGTAAAACAAACAGGTATAGCTCATGGGCACTAAGAATTTTATTGTCAATAACTGTTTGAGTGATGTTTTCAAAATTTCTTTTGAACTAAATTATTCTAGGAATTTTTTTTTGCATCATTAAAAGTTGGTTCAATAGTGTATAGCTTGTACCAACGCATGGTAACAATCCAAATTGCATGGTTGGCTTGACGTTAGGGTTGGCACATCATGGGTTCCTGCATTGCATTTATCATTAGTCGAAGTCATTAGCAGTCTAGATTTAATAAGTTTATCACAACAATTAGGCTAATGAAATTGAAACCAGGCAAACTTTTATGCAGCTTTTTCAAATTGTTTGTAACGTAACAAATTCTACCCAGCCACACAGTTAGAAAAGAGTCAATGAATCCAATAAGAGAAAAAAACTGACTTTTTGAAAAATCTGAACTATCGAATTTTAGATAGATAAAAATATATATATATATATATATATATACACTTAAGGCTCTCTGAACTTCCGAAACAATTTATGAGATCTTCCAAAGATATTTCCAGAACACTTTTTTGATTAAAGTCACAATTTGAGAAAACTGAATCAAAACGTGAAACTTGCATTCAATGAAATTATTGAAAACTCACTCAAATTTCACAGAGTGCATTTGCTCGAAAACAAAGAAGAATTAGACGGCCATATTTCCAGGATAGATTCGCAACTTCAAACCAGCTTCTGATATTATTTAATCAAAAGTGTCGATTTTTCTCTTTTTATGGGAAAAATTTACGAACTATTCTATGCACAAGATCATTATTGCCAAGTATGTAATTATCCTTAAACTTATGAACTCACTAAACTCTTTCTTTATTGGACATAAACCCAACTTTTTGAGGAAGTAGATTATTGAAAATTACTAGTTTTAATAACTTGGAACCTCTATATGCCAATGAGCATGACTATCTCTTATTGTTACAGAATGGCAGATCAAATGTACGAGAAATCAATTTTCTTGTAGAATAAACGTAAGTTTTTGATGAAAAAAACTGAATTCAAAAAAAAAAAGATGTCGGTTGTCGTTGATTCAGACAACAAAAAAAAAATTTTTAGTAAATCATACACGTAGATCTCATGAGCAGTAAGAATTTTTTTGTCAATAACTGTCTTAGTGATGCTTTCAAATTTTCTTTCGTTTTTCGTTGCATCATTAAAAGTTGGTTCAATATTGCATAGCTTGTACCACCATAAATCATCGAGCTAAAACAAAACTTTAGTAAAACAAACAGGTATAGCTCATGGGCACTAAGAATTTTATTGTCAATAACTGTTTGAGTGATGTTTTCAAAATTTTTTTTGAACTAAATTATTCTAGGAATTTTTCGTTGCATCATTAAAAGTTGGTTCAATAGTGTATAGCTTGTACCAACGTATACTAACAATCCAAATTGCATGGTTGGCTTGACGTTAGAAATCAAGTATTTCAACAGCACTGATTTAGGAACAAAATGTCTCATTCTTGAAATGACTCCGCAATAACTGCCCATTTATGTTTTTATACTTTGTATATGGTTGTGAAATGATAAGTTTGTATCAACTAAAACACCAAGGTATTTGCAAACTACGCCAGGAACATAAACAGTGTTATTTAGGACTAGATTGAGGTCAAAAGCACTGCTTTTTATCAAAAACTAATTAAAGTAGTTTTCATTAGAGTTTAACTTTAGTTTGTTGCAATTCAACCATAGAAAACTATTGGAACAGTCAAGCTTAAACTCGTTTAGGTTTTTTCACTTAGAGGCAACATTAGTATCATCAGCAAATAGAACGACAACATCGCTATTGCCTGCAAAATGAATATCATTGATATACATTAAAAACAGAAGGGGACCAAGCACCGCGCCCTGTGGAACAGCTGTGATGATAGGTAACCAATCAGATGGAGCACCATTGACGCACACACATAATAATTTTTCAGATAAGTAACTCTGAGACCAAATATTACATTTGCATCGAATCCCATAGTTTTCTAATTTAGATAAAATTTTGTGATCAGGCATACCAAAGGCCTTTTTCAAATCAATGAAAAAACTGCATTTAAATTTTATCATGAACGAGCCTTAAGCGCTCAATCGATTCAGCTAAAGCATCTAATGAGGCATATTTTTGACGAACCCCAAATGTTTTTGACGAACCCCAAAAATTGTTCATAGAGCAAGCGAACTTTTCGAGGTAAGTGTATAATCTAAAATGCATTACCTTTTCAATAATTTTATTGCAGCTATTGAACAAAGATATTGATTGGTAGTTGTTTAAATCCATTCTAAATCCGCGTTTTTTTCCGATATTTCACTTACAATTTTAAAAACTTGTCTCGAGTCTCCTATCCAATTATTGAGTTTAATTTAATAGAAATCTTTTTTGGTCTTTCTTAACAATATTTCGATACTTTTTCGCTCGTGAATAAACCTATTCATTATAACGGTGTTATCTTTACCACATTTCCACAATTTATAGTTTTATTTCTTTTAGCAATAGCATTTCTTAAACTTCTATTGAACTATAGTGCATTTGCTTTTCTCTTCTTTATGGGCTTTATTTAAAAAAAGGAGCAAAACGTTGTAGTGTAGACAAGACATTTCTTAAAATCATCGTAAGCGAAATCATTGTTGTCCAAGTTCACAATATGCGATTTTTCTAAATTGTTTTTAAGCTTTCTAAAAAATCGCGCTTCTATCTTTTTGTTTTAACCAAAACGACTTATCGCGATAGGAAAGGCTTGATAAGTCTCGTAAGCAAATTGTTTCAAATTTCAATAATGTCGGACAATTCATTTTCAAGTATGTTCATTGTAGAAAAATCAATATTCCTTACTACAAAAAGGTCAATGCAAGTTTTTACGCTGTTGCTGATTCTAGTGGCAGATTTATTTAAGAGATCAAAACCATTGG